GGTGAGTGCCTCCACGGAGTACAAAGTGGAGGATATTTAGGCAAAAGTACTCTTGACCACACCAATTTAGCAAATAATTTAGAAAACAAATAAACAAAAAGCCATATAAAAAAACACTATCCATGGAGACTTAAAGAAAGTTGTGCCACTTATTCAGTGAGTAGGAGTGTAAGCAGACACATGGAGCAACATTTAGCTGTCCATCATGTCTCACATCTCATTTCGCCTGTCCACAGACACGCGTCATGAAACTTTCCAGTGATATCTGAAAGTGATACCTAAAGACTGATTACTATTTTTTACTACATTTTTTCACTCTTGTCTAACACTCACATTTAGTACTTTATAACTATCACTGTAAACTGACCATAGTCACGAATATAACTGTGATTAGTTGTTTTTCTCTACTTGTGGCCCAGTGATGGCATGGCTAATTATCCAGGGCGTTTGGTACAAAAAAGATTTTCCCAGCGGTGGATGGATTGACCTTCCCGACGCTTAAAATAATTAAACAAACAAGATGAAATAATTAATGTTTTTTTTTGTTTAATTGATTTTTTTTATTGTTTTAATAATAATAATACTTTAATTTATTTAGAAATGAATGGAAATTTGCCATCTAAAACAAAACTTTAATGTTGTTTTGTTCCCAATTTTTCTATCTTTTCTGATTATGGCTGTTTCGAACACCAAGCCTATCATGAGGAACATGTTCTGACATTGAACTTTAACTCAATTCCTCAGACATTCCTTAAGCGTCAAACAGCACCTTTGTCCTTATCTACAAACATATTGTACAACGACTCTACAAAGAAACGTCCACCTCTGTTTCCTGTTGGAAAATGCTCCTGTGCAGATTCCCCAGAGGAGAGAGTGCAGAAGAGGTGCCTACAGTTCACTCTCAGTGCTGATTAGTGACAGCATAAGATACAAAATCTCTCAAAAATGATGTTCTTCAAGGAGAAAAGGATGAGCAGACTCAACATTCATCATTTTATCTGGAACAAACAACAATGGTCCAGTCACATGACAGATGCCTCCCATCTGCTGCTGCCGGAGTTTAAAAACGTATTTCAATTACAAACTATCTAGGAAATCTCTATCTGTATGTTCCACTTGAGGCACATCCTGCGCTCCTCCTCCTGAGGTCACTGACTACGTGCCCAAAAACAGGAAGCGTGTGATTGAGTTATTTGTAGGCTCATCCTGAGAAAGGCTGTATTTATGGCCGCCGGGTTGATTAGTTCATAGAGGAGACTTTGACAAAAACAAATATTATAGCTAAAGTATAAATAATGAATCTTCTGAAACTTCAGGGACAATGTTTGACTTAGCAGTGAAGGAAGTTTGTCCTAAATGTTGTGCAGCTTGGTGAGGAATTTGCATATCCCGTGAGGGAGCAGTGCGATGGTCCATGAGTGTGTTTGTTTATTTGTATATGAAGGAGTGTGTGCAGCAGATGGTGGTGAAACAATGTGTTGTGTTCACAGAAGTGACCCATGTTGGAGGAAGGGGGAGGAAAATCTCTCCGAGTGTCAGGAACTTATCTCGTAATGACTTCTGCATATTTTTTCACTTGCCGGCTGAAAACGATGATATAATAAAACCTAGACATAAAGTCTGCGAGTTTTATATTGTTAATAAAAAGTTAAAATAAATTCACATACCTGTGACTTTATGTTTGTATGTACAGTAAACAGGAACATATTTTCTTCTTTTTCTTTTTTTTTTATTAAACAGCTGGGACATGTCAAGGACATCGACCTCCAAAAGTTTATTTGGGGAAATCAAACTTATTTTGAATATTTTAAATCATATCTCTGTCCTCCCTACAGCTGTCAGCTAGATTGCAGAGAGATTATTGTGATTTGTAAATGAGGGTAACAGGAAGGCAGTCCTGTGGACAGCAGTGTTTGTTTGTGCAGACTGTAATAATAAAAAATAACCACAATGTACTAACTGTCTGTCCAGAACCACAGGGGAAAGGTCAGAGTCAGAGTTTGAATGTTGGCGTTAGGACATTCATCTGTCCTCTTCCTCCTCCTCCTCCACCTTTCTGTAGAGAGAGTGTGAACGTTGACATGAGTGCAGTTCTGAAACTCAAAAACACCAATAACTAAATAACTCTAATTTATAGCAGCGCTAATTCATCTATTAAATGACAGTTAATTCGTTGTGACTGTAACGTTTGTATATAATAATCCTTCACCTCAACCGCTTGAGGCTGTTACTGAGCTCCTCAGTCTTTTCTGCTCAAATTGCTGTGCTCTACTCTGGATCACTGCTTAGTGTCCTCATCAACACTCTCAGCGCGCTGCAAAGCGGCACTGACGGCGTAAGTGTACTCTGTCAGGAACATTGTAACGCGCTGACGAGGTGGACCGTTCTCTATCTCTGCAAAATGTAAACATGTCAATTCAATAAAATTTAATCACTTAATCAAACAAAAAAAAAAGTGTGTGTTTCTACAGTCATATGTCCACTCGGATATTCTTTTCACTAGCACTTAATGTATGTAAGGGCCTCACGGTGGAAGTGTGATTTTCTTGCTCTTGCCTCACAGCAAGAAGGTTCACGGTTCACTGGTTCCATTCCTGGTCTATCTGCATGCTGCGTGTGCACTGGTTTTCTAGGAGTCATAGGGTTTTCTCTCACAGTCCAAAAACATTCATTAACATTAGGTTAATATACCTCTCTAACTTGACCACAGGTATGAGTGTGTGTGTTTTTATTTTAGTAAATTATTCTGACATGAACCTAGTGCTGAGAAATGAGTATTACACAGTAGAAAAAATAATAAATAAATGATAATAAATTAAAGAATATAGAGTGATAATTATAATATGACGCCCACATGAATATACAGTGATAATTATAATATGACGCCCACATGTATAACAGGGGCCCAAGAAGCTAACCATTAAACGTGAATGAACAAAAACATAGTATATGCAAGGCAAAATTACTGCACATACAGAGTATATTGATTTACCTGCAGTAATCAAATTTATTGGAGTCTCTACTGTTCAAATGTTCACATTCTTTAAATTCCTTTCCTTTCACAAGAAGCATCAATAGTTTCATGTCCTCCTGCCGACAGTATTCATCGAAACTCTCACCATGCTGTGTCATATATTGAAATCCACTGGAGTGCTCTGGCAGGTCAAAGGTCTTCGGTACTATGTTTTTCTTTTCCCATTTGTTTTTATGGCTGATGACCTGAGTGGAAGCACCTGCGCTGAAACCCTTTGATGACCTGAGTAACAGAAAGATGGCCGATGACGGCCCAGGGCTTCAGATAAAAAGAAGACTTAACTAGGGAACCTGGCCCTTTACCTTGTCTGCGGCTGGTGTTGGGTTGCTGCGGATGTGAAGGGAAAACAAACAGTTAACAACTTTTCAGATAGTGTCGCACGCAGGAAGAGATTACTCCCATATTTGCACAAATGAAGGATTTGTTTGCTATCACTTCAGGTTAATGTGAACGAACGCGTGGTCGTTGTAAGTCAAGCGTTTTTCTGATTTACATCTATTTACACAAGAGTAAAGTTCACTGAAGTAAAATTCAAAAGTAAAACAAAAAAATGTCCCACATGTTCGTCACTCCAGGTGTACACTACTTCAGTATATGCTGTCAACTGCCAAGCTTTGGAATCCATTTCTCATCCTTAACATCATTGCTAACAAAACTAGCATCATATTTAACTAAGACCTTATGACACAAAACTTTAATGCCATCTGCAGCGAAATATTACACAAAAGACGTGAGCAATGAAGGGAATGAAATTAATTAATACCCCCTCCAAAAAACCTGACTGCTACCTGCTTACTTTAGCTCCTTTCTGAACTCTCTATAATATTAAAATGTCATTTATTATCAACTATATGAAAACACTAATTAAATTCTCTCCGCTGCTTTTGGTAAAGTAAAGGTCTCCAGGCTTTTGCAGCAAGACAAAGAAATCAAATAATTAGAAATATTCAAATTTGTTAATTTTCAGATTAAAAAGCAGCCAGTGACCTTAGCACTGAAAAGTAAATGTCTGTAGTAATGAACTTTTACAGCGATGACCTTCAGTAACAATGAAAGAAAAAAAATAATGGGCTCACACCAATTTCCTTAAATCATTTAACAAACTCATAAAACAAATGATGTAAGACTCTCTGGCAAAACATAGTGGAAACGTATTGTCGACTCTCTTATTGTCCCAGTAGGTAACGCTTCCTAAACAGCTGGAGAAGCCGTGTCAAGGACCTGAGGGTGTTTGCTACAAGTGAGGTCGGTGACAGCCAGAGAGGCGTGAGAGAGAAGCGTCTTGACCGGTTTAGTCTGGCTGTTGGCAGGCTGCACATACATAAACATAGCAGATTGCGACTGAGCGAGGAATGCTTGCCTTTGTTGAGACCGCCGTGGTGATGTCATCAGTACTTTCCCTGGCACCACCTGGGCAGGATTTACAGGAGCAGCCGAGAAGGTTGGTGTCATAAGATTCAAGGTTCAAGAGGCTTATTTGGCACACAGAACAATGCAGCGTGAAATTTGTTTCTGTGCCTGCATGTACTTCAAACAGAGAACATGACGTTAGGTTTGTGCAAATCTTAAGACGGCATAGAGTTACTCCGAGTTACTCCGAGTTCTAAATATAAACATAAATAAAAACAAAATGTTAATATAGACAATAATACATACATTTATATAAATATATACAGTACATACAGTATACATACATACATATGTACAAATATATATCTATACATATACACATATATGGACTGTCTAATTAATCTGTACCTATACATACACATATATGGACTGTCTAATTAATCACATGGTAGCTTTGTATTAATCCCAATTAATCAGGGTAAATGTGATTAATTACGATTAATCTAGATAAATAGTAGCTTCTTCTCATGTATACTGCTGAAACAGAAAGACAAATAACAGGAAGTAAACGTAAGTGTTTTTCACTCATTCAAATGATGGAATTATTAATACGGTAAAAATGTCTTAAAATGTAGCTTCATAGAGTTGTTTGACCTAAATCATAGGCGTGCGTGTTGGTGGTGGTACGTAAAACACATGCAGAGTCGTTTTCAAAACTTCAAAGCAACGTGTGATTGTCCACAACGATATTAATCAGTCCACAGTCCTTCGTCATCCATTTGGTAATTGCGTCAGTCGTAGGGCTAATTACTGCCCTTGTCTAACGCAAGCTGTCATTGTGACCTGAAGTCGAAGCCTTCGTAAACACGTGATTGGTGGTTGACATGGTATTTGAAGCTTGAGGTGCTTCAGTGAAATAAAAAAGTTTTACAAACTGTGTATTACAGCAAAGATAACTGCATGGATGTGGAATCATTGTGGTAAGACCAGTTGGTTGACTATAATAGGATTTAAGCAGACGAATGACTTGAGGGGGAATAAAACTCCTTTTCATCTTCTCTGTGTTGGACTTGGCAGTGTCCTGCCGGCAGCAGGGACAGGATGGAGTTTAAAGAAACAAATCTGGTGGTCTGATTAGTCACCTGCCTCCATTTGTACTTTTTAAAAAGAGTTTACAAAGGTCTCATTTCAGTCAGCGGAGCTGAGAAGATTAGCTACCCAGTGACCTGTGCAAACACTGGCATGTCTGTGTGAAGGCTAACATGTGAGCTTTTAGGAATGTGCGTGGGTGTTAAAGTGTCAAAATTAGGAAAGAAAAGAAGCCTTTTTTTTGTTTTGTTTTTTTAAAATAATTATACATATCTGGGAGAATGATTTCAAGTACAGAGAAAATAGTATTTTCGTGTGTGGATAAAAAGGCGGGAGCAGTGGTGAAATGAACACAGGAAAAGTGTGTTAGGAAAAAGCCAGTGAGTGGGAATAAAGTAGGACTCGTGGCAGAACCCACACTGCTGATGCTGGTTGTCTGATCTGCTAAGAGACAGTTGGCAACAGCCTGTCTACCAGCCGCAAATGCACAGTAATTCAAAGCATGCGACGTGACGCCGTGCCCTGTGAGCAGGGACTGCAGTCAAAGCCCCCTCACCACACACACACACACACACACACAGAGAGAGAGAGAGAGAGAGAGAGAGAGAGCACTGGAGTGACATTCACTGTAAAAGTAACAAATGTGCCTCCAGTCCACGTGATCCAATTATCCACAGTTCCATAGCAAATTTGAGCTGAAGCTAATCTTGTAGCCAAGCGACATGGCGCCTCTTCTACAAAAAAAAACAAATCTGACAAATTACAAAAGAAGTCCGGCTTGTTGCACCTAAAGTTTATAAGGGGGGAAAAAAACAAAACAACCAAACAGTTCAACCAAGTAAGTGTGATCTCAAGGTAACACACTTACAGTGAGGGGCGTGCAAATGGGATTTGCTGCTTCAATCAGTTGGGGTTTGTAAGTCACATGGTGAGGCTTCTGCTCTGAAATGTCCAGCACAAAGGAGTGTGTTGAGACAAAAGGATAACAGTAATGACTTAGTGGAAGGAAAACAAGATTCCAGCTTTTTGTAGGTTACTTCTCATGAGTTTCACATGACTTGCATTTAGCACTTCTTCCACCCCTTCACTCTCTCTGTGCTCAGAGCCCCCTCTGCGCCACCAGCCCTCCTCCTCATTTCCACCACCACTTCCCACCCCGCTCTGTGCCTTCCTCCTCCTCCTCCTCCTCCTCCTCCTCGCTGCAAAGCACATAGACTTCCTGTGTGTCCCGAGCTGAATGGTATGCGCATGGAGTGGGTGTCTGGGAGGCATTTCATCCGGCATGGAAAGAAAAGAGAAGTCAAGAGTGCGGGTGAAAAAAAAAAAAGAGAGTGAGAGTCGAGAGTCATCCTTAATCCATTTGAGTCAGAGCAGTTGTCCAGAGGCGAGAGGGGTGGGGTGTGCAGCAGAGGGTGAGAGGACTCTAGTTGTGCCAGGGATGTGTGTGTGTGTGTGTGTGTGTGTGCACCGTCTGGAGGGGAAGAGAAAGGTCCCGAGCCTGTTTGCCTTTCTGGGACAGTTGACATCCGGCAGGACTTTGCATGGCTGAACAGGGAAAGCTTAACTAGAGCAGGCGCTGTGGATGAACATTAACCAGAATATTTCTGCTCCACTGTGGGAAAAAAAAGTCAAAGTAAAGAGGAATCACATTATACTTATTCATGTATTTTCCTGCCTTTGTGTTTGCAGTAAATTGAAAGACAGATTTGTAGCCCCTGCAGCTTCTTGGGTAAATGCTGATCTTCGGTTTGGTCTCGTCAGACGGGGTGTAGCTGCTTTTTGAATGCCAGACCTGACTGGACTGGACCCAAAGTGTAAATGGGCACAAGTCTGTGTGACTACCTCATGCCATGGAAACACACACAGAACGTCTAGACATGTCTGCATAAGGTCCTCTTTGTCATGAAGAACACTGCCCCCTGGCGTCGGGTACCTCGCTCTCTGTCAGGGCAATGATGTCAATTTAACTACCAACTAGGGTTGGGTATTTTTTTACACAGACATTAGATACTTTCATGACCCTGAGACCCACAGTTTAATAGATGGGCCTCCTAACTCTGTAGCTATCAGATAGGCTTTAGTCTGAATTTATTGTATTCCTAAAAGCAGCCATATGCTGTATGTATTGTAAAAACCCAGGTGTCCTGACACAATTCTCCTCTGTCAGTACTTCATAGAACTACAGTACATGTGGTGAAAGATGAAGACCCCTCAGAGGAAAGGTCTGCAACTTTAATCACCAAAAGAAGTGTTTTTATAATCAAAAAACATTTTAACTCAAAGATTTAGTAGCATTGCATACAACAATTTATTGCTATTTAATCATTTATTGTAATTTGTTATTTAAATTACCAACAGCCAATGATAAATTCTAACAAAATAGCATTCAGTATTTAAATTGACGAACTCCCTGCAATCACTTACTGTTCAGTGAGCTGAAGTCGAGTTAAGAAGACAGTAACATTAGGTTGTTTTGCTATTGGCAAGCAGAGTCCCAACTAGGCTAAAACTTCAATGTTCTTTCTGTCACTGTACTTACAAACAACCAACATTTAGTTGCACTATTGAGGTAGAAGGAGAACAGCAGTGTTCAAGACCAGAAATAACAGAAAAACACTGTATGTAAAAAAATTTTTTTTTTTAAAAACTGCACTAAAAGTACTGTTGGAAAAATATAAAATATACACAAGAATCAATATATTTATGTACTATATAAATATATACAGTACATGTATATACATATATGTATTACATACTGTATATGAAGCTCTGTTTGATAGTATAAATACATCTTTATATTATTAATAGATATTTATAATTTACTACATAAACGTATGAAGTTTGAATGTTAAATTTAATAATATTGTGGAAACATGTACAAAATACATAAAATCTACGCTACATGTAGCTTTGGAAACTCATGATGAGCTCACTAGATAAACAACATGTAACTCGTGACAGACACATTAACAACAGCTGTACTGTAGCTCCTAGCGCCCACTGATTTATGTGTCTGTACGCTGGATGACAATGTGGTGAGCAGACTTTAATTAAGCCCCATTTCTAGGACGAACCAGACGACTTAAACATTTACAATGAGTAAATTGTAAATAAGCTCAACCAGAACCTTTCTCCCATCCACTCACATTTTTTCTGTTGCTTCAGTCTTATGAGGTGCTTCATTGCCAACTTTTTGGTCCATATTCCACTTGTTAGCATTTTTTAAATTCATGCTCTGGCAACAACCAGCTAGCTCTTCCAGAAGGTCGCTATTCAATGTTCCTCTGGACATGGAGCAACCTCCAAACAAAATGAATCAAAAAATGATATGTATCTTTAAGTGTATCATGAAGACTGCAGTGACAGAGAATTGTGCTTATTTTTGTTGACAGACCACTATGTGTTGAATTGTTTTATTAATGGACAAAAAAAAAAAAAATCCATTGTCTCCCACTTATACATTTTCAGGGTCATGGCAGAGTGGGAGCTGGAGTCAACCCCAGCAGTCATGGGCCAGGGAGGGTACAAATTGTCCATTACAGCTATGTATTTGCAGTAGCTACTGCTTTTATAAAAAAATAAAAATAAAAAAAAGGGAAAAAGTAAATTCAATGATTGCTTTTTTTGTCAATTATATCAATTATTAAGTGTCAAAGTGACTACTCAGTTTTAATTACTTTTATTTTGCAGTAAACACATCGGTGGGAACACGGAGGCCTAGGTGTTACACGCAACATAATTGATGCCTTTCGGGTCAAGTTTTCCAGACAGTGGGACACAGAGCCGACTACATGTTCACGGCTATTATTTATTTGATTAGCAGAGCCGACTACGACTATGTTCACGGCTATTATTTATTTGATTAGTGTGTTTACACCAGTGAATGTCAAAGGGCTGCTGTTGGACCTTATAAACACAGGTACCTGCCCTTGTAACCATTTAACAATCACGTCCGTTGTCCAAAGGTTACACACTTCAGGGATAATTGATTTAAAGAGTAACCCCCCATTCAGCCCCCCGCACCCTTCACCTAACCATTATTTCAAAACACAGAACCCTGAGGCCCCAGTGTGAATGAATTATCAGTTCTGCAAATGACGTAGACACAAAGCGAACAACTTATCGAGGATTCCATCAGCAGCTGGTGTTCACGTTGACACTAAAACTGCGTGAAGTTGTATGAAGTTGAAGTATGTTTAAGAAAAACACGTGAGTGAGCTGATAGATTTACACAGTGGGCCATTTAACGGAAGGATTTTTTAAAAAATTGTTTTGTTGGTATAAACGCCTTTGTCTTTTCTTTTTGTAATCATCGTGAGTCAAATGTAGGCTGGTGCCAAAATATTTTCACAGAGTCACATAGGAAATATAGGATTCATCTAGTTTTATTTATCTAGTTTGAACTTACTAAAGGATCTGTAAATTTTACAAATGAAGAGTTGAGATGTGGGGTTGATATTTAAATCAAATACTCGTACTCTTTCTCATAAACATGCCAATTCAGGTATTAGATACTTTTCACCTTAACCAGCTGCGCACTGGCCAGTTGGTCACTGCCTTAATTAATTATTTCCCAAATGTCAGCAGTTTGGCTGTATTTTAACACCGGGAACAAAGACAGAACAAAGACTTACTGTTCCGTTACGACACAATTTCCTAAAACACCTGAAGACTCCCCTCCTCACTGAACACACACACGTTCTCTCTTCTCAGTGGATAGTTGATGGCTCTTTGTAGAAGCAACAACGTCTAGTAGAAAGTACAAGACATTGTTTTTCATTTAATTGCAGTATTTTCACTTTCTGTTCAAATGACAATGTAAAAAGTTGAATTTTATTTATACATTTTTAAAAGATATGAGTTCTATTGATTTTATTCTTAGTGTTATTGATATATTGTCTCATATGACAACAGTGTCAGCTTAAAATCTTGCTTGTTTATGAATATTTCAATATCATCTAAATGTCATGGGCAAAAGATGATCGAATTTTGTCGAGTTTTGTTTTAGGCTGGCAAAGTTTAGAATATTACCGTAGTGAAAAACAAAATGTAGAAAGGGAAACACGAATATTTAAAATGATTTCACTGCATATTTATTTCAACACAATACGGTATATAGTTTCAAAATTGCAAACATTTAAAAAGTAAAGAAAGTAGAGAGCATCACCACCGATAATATGGCTGTCACTGTAAAACATTCATTCTGCACAGAGATGAATACAGGAAACCGAAATGAAACATGAGAAACACAAACTGACACCAACTGTGTTGGAATCAAAGAAAGCTTATTTAGCGTTTTTGTGAGAGGCATACTCAAAAGGCAGTAGTTATTTTCCTGAAAATAAAATTGAGAAAACATTGCAGTCGGCAAACCTTTACCACTTTGAATGAAATTACTCTACTCCACTTAAGTTAGCATTGTTCTAGAGATCTTAACACAATGCAAACCTTCAGATAGTAGCATTTTAGTAAGCATAATTAAATAAAAACACACACTGTACATCACACGTTTGAAGGAGCTCAACAATTGCACTAGCATAGGCTGGATCATGAAGCGTTTTCAAATTTTACACAACATTTTTACACACACCTGCTTAACCACAACCGTCGAGCCACAGAACCTGTGTAGAGCAGAGATCCCCAACATTTTTGCTCCACGGATTGGTCGTTAAATGCGGAAAAAAAATAGGACAAAATAAAATGATTCGCTAATAACGACCACTATTGAAGTTAAACTCACCACGACCACCTGTGGCGATGAATCTTTACGCTACTGAAGACAGGAAATTAAATCTACTTTTATTTTGATAAGAAAAAGCCAGTCTTCCGCCATGTTTCAGGCCCTCTTAGAAAAATCAATTTAAAGACTTTTACTCTGACAAGCATTCGTATAATTTGGAAAACATCCGGAAACCTTTCAAAATAAAACCATCTTGCGTCCATATTTAGCCAATAAAAAGTTCAGTGTTGCCAGATATACGGTAATTATCGTATTTGTACGCCAACAAATTATTTATTATTATTATTAACAAATTATTTTGTTATTGTCATATAATGTACACCAATTTTACCTGTTTGCTGTTTGGCTAGATTCGTTCATTAGCACAACAGGATATTGCTATTACTTGCACATACTGCATCCTTATAGTTCACCAACAAGTAAGATGTAGAGTAAGCGATATTAGCAATAATAAACATAACTTATATGCCACTTTAGAATTAAAATAGGGTGTTAACAATATTTTATTTCAAAAGAAATGATCATTTTGGGCCACTGATATGATATTGATATGATGCCTATATCTGACAACACTGTCAATGACCCACAGTTCAGTACCAATCCAGGACCCTGTAGTTGGGGACCTCTTGTGTACAAACTACTGTCAGACATGCTGAACAATCTCAGGTGACAGACGGTCACCTCATTTTCACAATACTTTTCTTATAGGCACAGAAGTTTTCTGGCATCAAATATAACTAGTGTTTATGCTTCAGTTTGTCATGAAACACTGTTTAAGGTGAAGAATCAACCAACAGAGAGGCAAAATTAGATTAAAAGAAAAGATATGCAGCACTGTTTGACTCCACACGTTTGTGTGTCAACAAGGCTGAAGCCGAGAGAGCGAAGTCAAGAGGAGGAATTTTACCCTGGAAACCTATAAATATCAGAGGTCAAGGTTGGTTTATGAGATTTGGACTTGGACACCTTGGAAACACTGAAATGGCCTTTCAGACTGGCATTTGGCAGCAACCCTCTTGGCTGCCTTTGCACTGGGCCAAAGAGTCAATTCCTGTCAAGTTTCAGGGCATTTTGCCTAAAAACCACCGATTTTCAGACACAAAATACATATGAAGCTTTGAACTCCAACAGCAACAGTTCTAATAAAATATGTATGAGGCAACACAGTAAAAAACACAACATACTATTTTTAAAACTGCATAGCAATGCTGGTTACATTTCCTGAAATTTAGCCTCATTTAATCCTCATTAACAAGCAGGTGATGTGGTGTGACATTTGCCTCGTCATACTCAGCTTCATTTAAACCCTTGCCTTCTTTGTTCTAATATACAGCTCAGGTACCGCTGGTTGCTGCCTTGAAACTAACTGAGAAGGCATTCCCACCAAGATTTAGAATCCAATTATTTTAATTTCGATTCTCAGTAGACCATCAGCTGCAAGCAATCCTCATTTTGCATCCTGATCCTTGTTATGACACACAAAGAAGTGGCTGTCAAGATGGATTTACTGCTTTCAAGAATATTCATTAGTTAGTATTACATCACCTATGTAGCTGCTAAAGAGATTTTGACGTGTTAAAAATGAAAAACAAACAAACAAAAAAACAAATCAAAACTCTATGAGTGAGCTCTTCGTGTGAGGTTTCATCCTAGTATGTCAGTACATATAACTTAGATAAAACCGGTTTCTCTCTTCTCCTCCCAGTGTGTACTGTACAGTACTGTGCTGGTGATTTTTTTATTTGTTTTTTTATTTGATCTTTGTACCTAGCAGGGACGCAGAGCTGTGTCTCATTTCTGAGGAGACCTGACGGACCGCATTCTCAGAGAATACACAGAGAAATGTTTGGGGAGGAAAAAAAAAATGATGTTACCAGGAATTACTTACTACAGGGCCTTGTGGAGTAGTCCCTGCCTCAGAAGTTCATTCAAGTCTGAACTTTAGAAGGAATGATGATATATCAGGGGACTATGTTAGAGATAATAGCTCAGAGAACTGAAGGCCTTTAAACTGGGAAGGCGAAGAACTGCAGCAACATTTTCTTTCTTTTCTCATATTTGGCACCATTTGATGGTTTGCCGATGCTTTGTCTACAGGACTTTGAGTGAAATTATTCTTGGTGCCGACGCCACTGTAGGAGAACTTCACTCACTGACTCAGTTTGAGGAAATTCTCATTCTTGCATGAATGTGCAAGAACCTAGGGTGCAGCCAATTTTGCACCCAAGGCCAGATTGTAGTTTGGCGCCCCCTATCGCTCCTGGTCGCCAACACTTTTAGCACCATGCTCTGGTTTTATGAATGACACTTTTCTATGGACTAGGCCAGTGTTTCCCAACATTTTTCGAGCCACGGTACTTATTTTTCATCAGGTAAAACCTCAGAGCACACCAGCAAACAAGCCTCTCAAAATGTATATGTAATGAAATATCAGTCGTTTTGTTTAAATTTACTCACAATTGACTAGAATCTCCACCTGTTTAGTTGAAGACACCACTAATATACTCGCAGGAATTGAAGAAAAAAATGTTGTTCTTCAAGTGGTTGGGAATCACTGGACTAGGCAGTTCTTGTGTGTTAGGGTAAATGTCACGTGTATAACAAAACATATATAAAGTGCATCATATATAAATACATCTGTACTTATTTATATAAATTAATATATTTTTAATGTTCACTTCACTTTGTGGTTCTTGGTTCTGTACTGTAGCAGTTATCACGTCTGCCTTACAATGTAAATGTAAAAAAAATACTATGTGGCTAAGGGCCAAATAATCCACAACCTAGTACTGGTTGGGAACCACTTTTAACATTTCTCCCTCCAACAGATGGCGCCCTCAGCGACTGCTTACGTGGTGTATGCACAGTGTTGGCTCTGGTTACTGGCCGGTGGTTTAGAATAGTATATTTTCTGGTGTAAAATGATGGCATTTAAGTTCTATCTTTTATCTATAGTAGATGTGGTCAAAACGCTTGCCTTACAGCAAGAAGGTCACTGGTTTGCAGCTCCGACACCCTGGTGTTTCTGTAGGGAGTTGCCATGTTCCTGTGTTTTTCCAAGGGAACCAATCCAAAAACATAATTTACAGAATGTAATAGTGAATGAACTCTCCACTGTGACCATAGGTATGAATGTCAGGGTGGAGGGTTGTCTCTGTGTGGCACTGTGATTTGATGACCTGTTCAGTGTGTACCCAGCCCTCGGCCATCAACTGCTGTGATTGGCTTTAGATTCAACCCTGAAATAGATAAAGTCATAAAAGTAGAATGAATACAAAAAAAAAAAACAAAACAAAAAAAACCTCTAAATAGTAGTTGTAAGCAATTATGAATTGAATGTGGATTAATTTTGAATGTTGATTTTTATTTTATTTAAAAGGGTGGAATAAATGAATCATTGTTGCACTGTATTGATTTTTAGAAAAGCTAATCTATAGTTTCTATAATTTTCAATCAGTTGTTCAAGGCTACTTGTTGAAAGATGATAAAACGTATTGGTATTTGCAGTTGCTCAGGGGATAGAGTGATTCTACTACCAATATTACTGTATGAGTATGTACTGATACATGTTAGTTTGATGCAGTTGTTTTATAGTTTAAAGTACTTGGCCTTTGACAATGTATTTGCTCTGATGTATTTTCCACTGAGCAAAATTCAGCTGTTTTAAAGCACAATGCTTCAGCTGCAGAGCAAATATTGTTCTGTAATAAATTCTTAAACAGCTCACACCATAACTCACTCACACTGCCATGCTGCTGCTGTCTTTGTCTGTGTTTGTGTGGCCTGTTTTAATGTTATACTGTTATTCTTTTTACCTTATAATAAAGATGAAGTAATGTATGTGATCAACATCAGTTGTTTTTTTCTCTAAAAACGTAATAAAAGGGATGTCCGATGTTGTTTTTTTCTTTAAAAACGTAATAAAAGGGATGTCCGATAATATCGCCCGACCAATATTATTGGCCCGATATTAACATATTATGTAATATTTGTAAGAATTGTTATCAGTTTTTCCTCTAATAATGAAAACCCGATAACGCAATGCCTGGGTTGTTTTGGGGATGAATGACTGTATAATAATGTGAAAGTCACTAGATGGCAGCATTGCAGCTCATTTAATTAATCTAATACTCATACAGTGGATGTACAGATTAATAAATAAATATTACCAGGCCTATATTGGTATCGGTTGACATCGGAATTGAAAATTAGGGGTTTGGACAATATCGGCATATCGGATATCAGCAAAGTTAGTATCGGACATCCCTTGAAAAAAATAGATAAATCTATCCGCTTTGTGTAAAAGGCTGGTTTCATCACGGACAGACAATTAACCCTTCGTTTTACACAGCATGGACGTGTTTTTACTCCGACAAGAGGCATCTCACTGGTAAATACCTTCTAAGCGCTGGCCTTCTTTCAGAAGATTTGGAAACTCAGTCTCTCCTCAAGGAGTTTTTACTGCACTGGTGTGGTGTTGAAGTTCATATTGATAGAATGAGAAACCACACTGGAACAGTACAGGTTGGAGCTATTCCCAGTATGATTATTTGGTGACCAGGTTTCAATGAAGATGTATTTACAGTGAGGGAACTGCCATCAGGACTTTGGTGTCCTACTGCAGAGCCAGTGTGAGCCCACATCCTTGTCTGGCAGGTAAAACTGGAAAGTCTTATTGGTGACAGGTGGTCACTTCAGAAAATTAGTTTATTGGCTTCAGAGTTAGTTAATTAAAAATCGATGAGGTGGATATACACCGTCTTCACATCTGTCCACGCAGAGAAAGGCTGCCGTTTTAGACTATCTCTGTAAAACCTGGTTTAACCGGTTTTGATGCTCTTTGATGTCCTGCAGAAATCACTCAGAAACCAGTGAACTTCACGTGTCCATAGTTTCATGAATATGTCATTTAACACCTTGTAGATGCAAATTACTTGGAATTTCATTTGAATTTAAATTAGAACCACAACCAAAACAATACATTATTCTAGGTCCTTATTCTCACACCATCTTTTCTGTTTTTTCTGAACAAAAAACAAACAAACAAAATGTCCATTAATAATAATAAAAAACCCCAAACAAACAACAACAAAAAAAAAACATTTTCTCGAAGTAGTCGTCTGAATATGCCATTAAATGTCTAGATTTTTAAAACCTGATCTTGATGTTGTTTTTTACAGACCCGGCTATGGATCATATTTGAGATGAAGTCATAAACCTTCTACCTTTTTAGGATTTATTGTCATTTTTAAAAAACAAAACACAATAATCCCGAAAAAGACTCGCATCTCAAACCATTATTTATTATTTTTTAGGGGGGAAACATCTGTTTTGGTAACTGACTACACAGCCTATTGGGGTCAGACAAGGTTATGTAGTTGTTTATGAATCATCACATTAATTTTAATGTACAGCTCCAAATGGGAAATCAATGCATTCACTTCACTGTAGAACAAAAACCAAAAAAAAAAAAAAAAAAAAAAAGCTTATTTCGCAAAAAAAAAAATGCCTGAACGACAGAATGACAGAAGGTATGTTTGGCCTGGCCTCAGTGACTAATTTAATTACATTTCAGTGACAGACAGAACAAACACACTCAGGCACGTTGGCAAAAAGCCACAATGACACAAAATCCTTTGGGTCTGGCCCAACAATGAGGTTTGTTTCACAAAAATGTACCTCCGTTTGATTTTTAGATTCTCTTCACTTGGTGCAGCTGAAACAGCACCGTATCCAGGCAGGACAGTCGAACGTCACTGATCTGTCACATTTCCCACTGAAATTGGACTGTAAAGTGTACAATCCTCTGTTTCATCTCTTTGCCAAATACAGTTTCAATGGAGCTGCTCCACTGTGGGGGCGTGGGTGGTGGTGGTGGTGGTGGTGGTGGTCGCCCAGGCGTGGTAGATGGTTCTTATCAGGGCAGAAAAAGAGAACGCTCGCAGCTCGTCGCTGCTCCGTCAGCTCCGTGGTGATAAATGTTTACAGCCAGACATTAGGAGAAAAATTAGCTCTTTTTGTTAGAGATCATTCACTGGGAAGCGTAGCTCTCTCTGTCTTTGTTCTGTCCTCCAGCCTGCCCGGCTTTGAAAAAGCCACACCAATTAGTGAAATCCATGTATTTGATCCAAGAAGTTATTTAAAAAAAATGTCAGCTTGAGTTAGCCCAAAAAAAAAAAAAAAATCAAAAACACAAAAGTAAATTAAAAACAAACAAACAAAAACCTTTATAGTGATTAATTTTCTCCAGAAGAACCCATGGTTATGCAGATCCGATCTTGTGCAGTCTTTTGAGGAATTTTGCTGATTAAGTTGAACACATATCTCCAGGGGTGCTAACGTTGTTGGTTAAGCTAACTGTTATGTTATTTGTTTAAGTGTAATAAAATACTTTGTTATACTTCTTTTTTTTCATGGCTGTGTCATTTGCGTGAGCATCAGATGGTTCCCAATCCTAATTACACATCTTTATCAACATCCCAAACTCCAGGGGGCGATGTTGCTTTGGGACTTTTTCAAGATCAAACTGCAGCCGTAACAGTAAAGACACAAGGCAGAAAAAAAAACTATGACACTATCATGATGTTACACTTAACCTTTTAAAAGCCATCAAGACTGTTGAAGCCAGAGCCAACAAGTCTGATCTTTCTCACTGACAGTTTGTCCAAAACTCCATCCTAAAAAGTAGAGTCCTCTGCACTCAAATACCCATAATCCTCGAGTAAAAGATTACGGTCTTTCTGAAACGATTGGCGCAACACATTCTCACAGTTGTTTGTCGTTGTCTGTGTGTCAGTCTATATGTGCCATTTGGTGTAGCAGAGATATTCTTTTAAGCAACAGTCTCAAACCTCGCTGCCTGCTGTACATCCTCTTCTTCACTGTAGGTTAGCTAGCACACCAGACCGCCACTGTTCATGCAGTAAAGGTTTGTCATGAGTTGATCTGCTGTGAGCCTGCCCTACCCAAGTGTGGTGAACGCTGAGTCCGGCTCTTCTCTGACGCAGCCGTGCGTGGAGGATGTGGGCGACTGGACTTTGCCAATTTCCTCAAGGGCACTGGCCAAAGAGTCCAGGTCTCCAGAGTCCTGATGCTGGGCTTCCCAAAGACTCAGGATCACCGATGACGGGCTTTCCTGACATGCAAAGTAGGACAGGTTCCTTCAGGGTAAAAAAAAAAGAAAGAAATCAGTAAATACACACGAGAATACAGAGAGAAAAATACTTCAAAATCCTGTGCTGCTGCTGGTTTATACCAGCCAAGGTCTAGTCTTCAACCTGTGGTACCAGACCCACATGTGGCCCTTGAGTTTTTTTGCATTGGCATGTGTTTTAAATGTGAGGCCGTTTCTCCAAACAAAACAATCGTGGCCCCGACATCCATTAGGCTGCTATTTTTAGTCGACAGCAGTGAATTCTAGTCTGTCTACAGACACTGACGTATCAATGACTGTCAGACACTGTGGAACACAGGGCGGCGAAGGACACGCTAAAGTTTCAGCTTGATTTTTAAACAGCAAAACAACATAGTGTTACTGTCGTCTTCAGCTGGAGGTGGCTGTGCAACTTTTAAGGTATAAGTACTGAAGCTAAAACAAATGGTTCATGGTTTTTTGTTTTACTTTAATGCATAGGATAACTACAGTTTTGTAAATTCCATAAACTGCACTATGATTACAATGATGGGAGGCTCTTTTTAATTTTTTTAAGCATATTTTTCCCCACATTTTCTTCCTTTCATTTTCCCGATTTCCTTTTTTAATGACTGTTTGCACTCATTGTACAATGTTGGGCTGTTGTAATTAATGCAAGTTATGCAAGTTTTTTTTAACTTTCATTTTTGTTTAATGTTATAATTAAAAAGCATCTGTTAAAGGTAGCATCTCCTCCTGTGACCTGTGCCCCCATGACGTCAGGGAACCAATTTCCTCAGCTGTTGTTACACCTTTTATCCAACAGATGGCAGTGTTTCATAACAATGGGGGGTTTCCCGCAATCCCTCCACCCCACCTTTTATCCACTTTTCCATGCCCGGCTTCCTCCCCAGTGTGACCACATCCTTCCAAATCCAAATAATTATCACTAAATCAGCTCACATGAATATGTCCCTGTTCTAATAGGATGGAAAAATACACCTGAAATCATTTCACTTCCTCGGTCACAAACTTTTGTTTCCCAACTTATTTGAATGAGCACCTGAGTCACAGGTCTGCCACAGTTTCACAGCCTGTGAGAAAAATTTGCCTGTCAAGATTTTCCACGAGTCTAAATGGCAAAAAAGAACTTGATTACCCCTTCCTTCTATGAAACCTCCATAGCCTACGCATAATACTGACATGGCACAACCTCTGGAGGGTATAACAGGGACTGCAGGAGGGAGCACATGTGGATTTGCTGCTAATGAGGAATGCAAACATGAACGTACTTCCTTGCCACAGGCTTGCCTGTTAGTGGTCTGAAACTTCCTGCGTAAGAAAAGAAAAAAAAAAAAAATCCCAACGCTGCTTCACTAATCCAGGCTGTGTTAAAAATGCCCTCCTTTTTGCCCGTGTTTACAGATCTATAATGGAATCAGCCGCGTGGCCTGTCACCAAAGGCTGGTCGCTGATGGAAGATTAGAGCTGACACTGCGCCTAAACTCCTGATTAAAAAAATACTATTCCAAGAGTTTCCAAAGAGAATATGAGACATTTATGCAAAATCAAACATACCAGCTAATTTATGTGTGTGAGCTGGTGAAATGTGCCCATGACTCGGCAGCAGGAAGCTGAAACTTGAAAAAGTCTGCGGCGTGACTGCGAGTTTTAGAGTGCTCATAATTCATACCTGTCTATGTGGAGCTTTTGAGCCAGGAGCTGCCAGTCCTTCCCCTTGGCATTAGCGGTGTCAAAGGTGGCGCTGATTCGCTGACGGATGGACAGGGGGATTTTGAAGGCCCTTGACCCTGTCTGAGAGGTGACGGTGCAGTCTGACTGAGTAAAAAAGGGGACCGCTCCCTTTTCATTCTGCTCACAAAATGAAAAGATTGAGTGTCAGGGTGATTCTGATGCCGCCGTGATAGCCGTAATGTGAAATCAAGGACAAGAACTTTTGGAGACCAAAAGCTCCTTGTGAGAGAGGCTCATTAGGCGGAGCCCTCGAATCAAAGACAGACTTACTTAAGTCTGACAGAAGAAGCTGTTAAAAAGCGACATGAACGGCCCAATGCTGAGAACAAGTGCTACCCACCTCCACCACGGACGTGTAGACCTGGAGAATCTGCTCCTCGCCTTTGACCTGTCGCACGCTAATCTTGCAGGAGAGCTGAGATGAGGAGTGGCTGTATCGCTCCAGAGAGAAGGCACACTGCAGGGGACGCTGGTTACTGGCCCACACCTGAGAAAAGGAGAACTCCTGAGGAGCAAGAGAGAATGGGGTGGGTGGACAGGGAGAGTGATGACAGCATTAGTCGGAGGAGACAACAAACTCATTAAACTCCGGCAAAAGACATACGTAACGTGACTCCAGCGTTGCCACCCACTTTGCAGTTTACATGATTAATTAAGACCAAATGAGTGGCCTCTTAAGCCAATCAATGAGGCTCCCTAATCAAACAGGTTTCCCGTCACCACCGGCAACAGCAGCCACTTCAGCCCATGGGATAAAAATAATATTTTCTATACTAAGAGCAGAGCTGGACTCATCCATGCCGAGACTTAATAAATCACAGACGCTGCTCGTGAAAATTAATTATTACCCATACTGCGTGGTTAATTTAACATGCAATCATTAGGTCCATAAAAATAATAAACCTGGGACCACAGTATCAGCAGCAGCAGATAAAGCAATAATACAAACTACTCTCCTGACAATTTTGGAGGTAAAAATAAAGCCTAAAGATTTAAAGTCAGAGGTATATTACTTTCTATTAATTCTCACGCCTTCCTATTTTCTGTTAACAGGAAGCCTATGAATGTCAATGAGGTCATATCCCAACCTGCACTGACATGGGTTCCAATAATCCAGAAATGATCCAGTCCTTGAAATGAGTGGATCATTTCAAAAACAGATCATACAGGAGGAGACGCCAGAGTCGCCAGTGATGTGATGATCTCGATGTCATATTATATGCTGATGACACAGTCATTTATTTATTAAGTGACAGCAAAGAAAGAGAAATCTATTTTTATTAGGGGGAAGTAAAGTGTTGAAGATGTCCATTTTTAATAACACTGTCCAAAACATACTTGATGCCAAGAGACATCTGTAAATGTATGACTTAATAATTGTAACCCAGGAGGTCATGTGGTCAGTGGACGCATTTAGAACACCTTGGTTTTCAAATTAGATTAAATTGGTTCCGTATTTCCCAACCATCCGCACTGCAGTCTGACACCATCAATTACTCTCGGCGACAAGGTAGCCTCCCTTAACTTCACCGCTACCACCCTCTCCAGGCAAAGGTCACATCTTTCTAAAAGTCGGGACTTCATTGGTATTAATAACCGCACCTTGTCACCTGCATCTCAGTCACTATGTGTCCCTCATGGTTTAGTACTTGTCACCCTTTTATTCATTCTCTCGATCTTCCCCTTCTTTAAAGTGACTCCTTCAACAATGTTATGCAGACGATGTTCAAATCTACATTTTAACAAACTCTTGAAAATCAGGTCTCGGATGAAGGTCAACGTCCTTCAACTAAATTAGGGTATGTTTAACATAATAATGGTTAGTTCCATAACCCTCCATAACAAAACTCGGATATGACTTTTGTCTCGCCGTAAATGAAACCACTCAGCGTCTCAGAGTCACGGCTTTAAACCTCACTTTTGGATTTCACATTGAAAACATCATGAAAATTAATTATTTTATTAATCAATTATTAGAAGATTTATTCTCAAATACTGCACTGACAAAAATGTCTCCACCGATCACTCACCCTCCACTCCTCCAAACTCGACTTCTGTGATGTCACATCTACCAACCTCCATAGTGAACTCTGTCTGCGGCTCATTCTTGTGCCACATCACTGGACTTCTGCAACTTCATCGGTTTCCTATACCATATTTGACACAGTATGAGTGTCTACTTCATCTATTCAGAGCTCCACATAACCACTGTACCTCTCCAACCTCCACTCCACCTGTCTCATGCTCCCAACCAGTATAGGCACAAAGTGTTCTCCATAGTTCCTCTTCCCTGTGGAACTCTGTTCCTAAAATCCTCGAGCAAAAAAAAAAAAACAAAAAAAAAATAAAACCCTCAAACTGTTCTGATGTGCAATTCATGTGTTTGTTAAAACGCAAAAAAAAATTAAATCAAACTCAGCACTTTGATGTACAATTCGCAAAAAAAAAAAATTAAATCAAACTCAGCACTAACCTCGTCCATTTCAACTGTCCTGAAATTGATTTCTGTTTAACAAACCGTAATTTTATTATAGAATCAGAACTACCTGTCCATTTGAACTGTCCTGAAATTGATTTCTGTAATTTTATTATAGAATCAGAACTACCTTTGATGCATTTCTTGCGTTTGAGCTTTCAAACTAATTAAAACCAAAAAGCCTGTTCCTTCTCCTCTTCCTCACTAGTCCATGACCCAGACTAGAATGCTGTGAGAGCAGGTCAAAAACACTGCTTCACCAATGCATCATCCCCTCTTCAGATCCATCAGACCAGAGAACGGCCACGTATAAAAGCCTTTTCCAAAGCAAGAGTGGTGTCTAAATGAAAGCCCGTCGTCATCTTCCCTGCAGGACCCTCGCTTGGATGATGCTCTCTCCAGCGAAAAAACCCCTCGTGGTATTCTGAAAGCACTATAAGGGGTTAATTTTTTAATAGAATGTTGGAGGGATAACATCACAAGGCAGAAGCAAACATGCAGCCTATAGACTCCTCAGAAGATAACAGGGGGGTGCACATGTGAGTGCCTGCCTGAAGTCATAATTAAATTTGTATAGGAGTGCGTTTGGTTAAGACAGCTAGCCTTAGTAGTATCACGCTGTGCTTATGCTGCTGTCCTTTGACTTTGATATGTCCCAGCAAGAAACAGAGAAACTGCTGGAGGAAGGAGAGAGGTTTAATTATGCTTTATCGTGAGAGAAGCAGTGATGTTGTGCTGGATGACAGTATCATCCCATCGACGCCTGGTTCCAACTGAACACCGTTGTTTGAACCAACGCGTGGATCAAAGTGAAATAAAGAAGTGTTGGAAGGTACAGAGCTCCAGATACTTTAATTGGAAATGACAAATCCACAGTTAGAGTTTCCTACCTGGCAGGTGGTGAAAGGTTTGATGCTCCAGAGTATTTGTGGGATGTCCTGGATGGACACCTGGAGGCTGAACGTGTTCCCCTTAAACAGCATCAATTTCGGCTCCTCCAGGAGTCGTCCAGCCCTGCTGCGCTCGCCCAACACCACTTCCTGATAGGAAAAAGTAAGCAGTGTGTTGTTAGGAGAGTAGAGAGGAACGGAATCTGAGGAATCTGATTGTACCTGAATGACACATCAAACGTACAGCAGCAGTACACCTGAATCAGGGTCCTGCTTTTCTAATTCGAATAAAGATCACAGGGGCAGCACACTCAGTAAGAAAAAAACCAATAAACTTTCATTAAGTTGTACTGGACTATGCAATCACCAGCATGAGTTGCATCCTGGGTGATTGCGTCACTTGGCCTGTTGGCTGCCTGCTCTCTCAGGAGTCCTGCAAGATAACAAAGATTTGTGGGATTCCTTTAGCAGGATGTTGTTCTGGTTCGGTGTTTACCATCCTGACTAACCTCAAGCACTGCTACAGTTCCAAACAGCAGTACCACACTCTCCCAACAGGGGGCCTCAGGCAGATGTTCATTTAGATGTGCTGCAGTTATCTCACATCTTCCTTCCATTGTTGAATGGTGACCTGCTGACAACTCTGCTCACATCTTAACTGAAGGGTCCCTGTTGTCAGACTGTGACTTACACGGACAACCAATAATTGAAGATCACAGTCTTTTCTTCTCATTGTCACCGATGGTTTTATTGGCCACACGGACAATGAACTCCCCGTGCCAAACACTTGACTCCTAGCATGGTCAGGACTTGTTCCAGGGACTCTGACAAGCGTGGGTCCTCCTAAAGAACTGTTTCTTCTTAGATTGGGTCGCGACCCTCAGGTTGGTCGCAAGAGTTTTTTTTTTTTGGGTCATCTCGTATCATGTTTCCCAGGAGTTTACGAATAACGTCCATAGACTTGGGTTGCGAAGGTTTGTGACTTTTAAAATATGAGTCCCCAGAAAAAAAGTTTGTGAAACACTGTCCTAAAGGACATTAGGTGTATTACTGGAAGCCAAAGCAGGAAGATCGATGAGGTAAAAACCAACACTACTGCAGAAATAGTTTTTTTTTTATTATTACGCAGCTGCTTTTCAAAAGTTTAGTTCCTAGCCCTAAATTTTGAGTTACTGTGAAGCTGGAAATATCAAGCCAGTGTCTCTCTGTGACATCCTGCACAGTTGACGTCCCATGTCACACTGGGAGCTCACAGCAAAAGTTTTTATGTGAAAAGTAAATCACAGTAAATCAAATGTAGGGAGGATAAAGCTTACATATGGAGGCAGAAACAAACGGTGGTGTTGTTTACGTGGGTGTTGTTGTTTTAACACCCCAGGTTGGTGTGCTGTTACACAACACATAACTCTAACACCACAGCGACAAGTTTGGGAAGAAAAGACTGGCTGATTAACGCTGTAATTGTTGGAGTGTTTTCTGCAACGTTTCACCTTTTATAACCAACTCAGATAAAGAACCTCTGTGGCTGTTGGAGCCCGAACAAGATCGGTTCCTCACCCAAGAAAACAATCGGTTATTTTTAATTATAGACCTAATAAATATTTCTAAACTGTTTTGCAATGATCTGACTGGGTGCAGGTAGTTATTTGGAGAGATAACCTCACTGAGGTTGTGAATGCATCAGGGACGACTTGTTTTTTGGGTTTTGAAGACACTGGAGACAGCTGAGACTGGAGACAGCTGACCAGTGACCATGCAGGACTGGTGGACAGTCAATTAGAGAGCCAGTTGAAACAGCAGCTTCATCATCGCTGTATATATAAACACAACATGATTCGTCCTGTGCTCGTGACCCGTCCTCTCATCAGCAGTGGGCTGGACATGAAGAGAAAATGAAGAGGTTTTCATGGTGCTTACACAACCCAATCACAACTTTGAACCTTTGGGCATCAGGCCATAAAAAAAAAAATCCTCCAAGAGTCAATTTAAAAGCACAGTCTCAGTAACAAACGATGTCGACGTAAGAAAAAGAACGGCCAAAACAACTGTGTGCTGAAATCTGAGTGACACAACAGTCGCTGCTGCTTATGACAAGAACCCTCCACCAAACTGAACAAAGGACGGACTGTATGAGTGATAAAAACACACCCACACACCCACACACACAGCCTCGGAATACCAAGAAGCCGACCAGCAAAAAAGCGTTTGTTTGTTTGTTTGTGAAAACCAGACACGAACAGAGGAAATCAATCTCTGGCCTGGATTGTGGGTTTTGGCTCTCTGCCCGGCCGTACTGTAAATATTGCAGCTCGTTGGAGAATAGCATCACACGTGTGACTGTGTTAACATGTACGTCGGTGTTTGTGTTTATATCCGCCGCGTCGTGGGGATACACAGGGACGGCCGTGGGTACGGGTCCGAGATTCATTGTGCTTATCAGCCACATGGCAGAGTGAGGAGGGGAAACGCGGAGCATAAAGGCAGGTCTGAACCTGATCGATTCCTGCTTCAAGCTCACTGGGGAAATTAATTGTCGTATGAAGCACAAACAAAAGCCAACAAAAAGAAGAACAAATGAACAAATAACCAAGTCTGACTGATGGAAGGGTGAAGTGAATTGGCTCTTGGCACCTACATCCAATCTCTCTTTGTACACGCGCAATTCTGCATCATGAATGAAGCCCCAGGAGCAGCAGGTCTTTGGCTTTGTGCAACAGCTATCAGCATTTCCACCACTAAAAGTGTCCGTGTTTAATTAAGAAAGGAAACAGATTAGTCTGGAAGAGGCATTTTTCCTTTTTTTTTTTTTTTGGCTAAAGAACCTTTGAACGGAGAAGGATGTGTGTGTGTATGTGTGTGTGTGTGTGTGTGTCGGTTTTAAAGGGAGGCCACGCTGCAAGAAAATCATTCACGGAGCACGGGAGGACAACACACGGTGATGAAGTGGGGCTGCAGCTCAGATTGTTTCTCATTTCAACGTGTTCACAAACTTGTCACACGGAATGCAATCCTCAAACACATTTAATTAACAGAGAGCAAATTAAATTACAAAGTGAGGGCAGAGAAGAAACCTTGGAGCATCTGTTGTCTTTGTAATTAAAGGTCCCTCTTTGTCTCCGAGTCATCACGTACCTCCCCATGGCACTGTTCCTCAGATCTTCAGTGAGCAAAAAAATAAAAAAAAATGGCAGGCAGCATCCCGGCTAAACAACAGACATGACAGACAAACACTGTGGTCTGTTTACCGTCATCCACATACATGTGACGGCACCAAAGCTCTGCCTTCGTATTTCTAACAACCTAGCGTATCATTACATCAGAGCTCAGATGTTATCGCAGGACTGGGGCTGGCTTCCATCCAGTGGCTTCCTGCGTGTATTAAAACTGGGACAGTTGAGGTTATTTGAAGTACTCGCACACAGTCAGGGGCCGAGGACCAATCTGGACGCTCACTCTTCTCTACAAACACGAGGCGCTAATGAGGACGTAAATGAGGAGTAAAACCAGATTTTCTACTGTTTTATGGCTGTCGATCTGAATCCATTTCTAAAAGATTCATCTGGTCAAAATATTTGACACATTTTTAATGCATGAGCAAAATGACGCGTGTTGTATATCATAAAAAAATTCCATTCCATAGTCGATACATATGTTTTTATTTACTCAGAGGCTTCAACTTCTGGCAGCACAGCCAATCGCTGTCCTGTTGCTGACCCGAGAGCATAGCAACCCAAAGTTATCCAATCAGCATCTTTGAATCTGATGGCTTATGGGCGATTGATTTGTCGCCCCAAGAACGAGTCTCTCGGAGATGGAGTGGATATCTGAAGTACTATCGCACTGTATCGTGTTCCCTGCCGTTTACCTCCGCCACAAGGGGTCACTGTCAACAGTCAGTGTGTAAATATGATTAAGTTATTTGTTTTTATGTTCAGTTCAAATGTTGCAAAACTGCACAAAGTGAAATGTTTTGAATAGTAAGATACGCAGTGACCTCCACAACTTCTTGTTTTTTAAATATCTGTCAAAAACACATTTGTTTTTCATTTCCATTTGACACTGAAGTTATTTTCTGTTTTATTGTCTTCTGTCTTTTTTGTGTCATATGGCTGCTTTGGTTTTATGTTTTTACTGTCACTGCACTTTCTTTTCTTTTTTTTTTAAATGTGCTTTATACATAAAATTGGTTTGAAGATCTAAACATGACCCAACACATAAGATCAAACTCCTCAGTTCAGGACTTTCTGCATCTACAAAATTTTCATTTACACAGATACGACAGATGATTTGATAAAGGAGTTAAAGGAGAATCTATGGAGAGCAGGAGAAACCCCCCTCTTAACTCTGGAGCAGGTCGGTGACTCCATCTATCTCCTCCTTATCTCCGACTATGATCTCTTCTATCATCTCTTCCCAGGAGAGCAGGGAAACATTTAATTCAGCTTCATGTGATGCCATTCGAGTCACGTCACGTGACAACAGCTGTCACGGAGCTTAAGGCAAATCCAGCACTCCGACGACCGAGTCGTTAACAACCTGGAGCTGACGCTCAGTGGCAGTTTCAGTCAGAATAACGGCTGCTGTTGAGGGAGTGGACTACAGGGACCACAGCCCTCAGAGGTTGGGATGTTTCACTAATATACAATGAGAGCTGGAGAAGCTTCTTAAATCATTGTTTTTAATGTCACTAAAGTCCTCAAAACTATGTGATTTCTGACAGGCTTGAAGCTACAGAACAAACCAGTCAGTGATTCTAATGTTCTGCCATCAATTTCTTCTAAAGTTGGGTTTAGAGCTAAAGGTGAAAGAACCTTCCACACCGTCGCCCTTTACCTTTGAATGACGGCGACCTTCTCACAATCAAATCTCATTTTACAGACGGGAAGTCAACTTCCTGTCACTGCGCAACCTTTAATATTATTTTATCCAGTTTTAGGGTTTTTACTATTTCGATATCCCTCCTTACTGTGTTGTCTATTTTCTTGTTTTTTTGTAACATGAGCCCAAAGGCCCACGAGGTTCGCGATCCCAGTCTTTGGGAAACAATGCGGAGTGGGGTGGAGTGCTGCAGAAAACATTTGGGTTTGAAGCCCAATTCTCTGTCAGGGGATTTCATGCCTAAGGGTCTAAAGTGACCGCAGATCAAAGTGTGAGTGTGAATAGTTGTTTGCCTGGATACGAGGCCATGTGATCAGCTCGTGAAATACCCAGTGTGCACTGCGTTAGCTTGGATTGGCTCCAGCCCATTCATGTGACCCTGAAAATCCTTAAGCCGTAGAAGGTAAATTAAAAAATGTTTGCTGCATTCAATTTCATTCCAAATCCTTTCCTGCTCCCAGTTCTCGAGGGCCGTCCTAATGTGCTCATCTTAGATTTATTATTTTAATAACTTTTAATTGCAAACATGTTGACAGGTCACGGTGGAAAAAACACAGGAATTAAATTGAGGAATTAATGACGACTGAGTTCCAGTGGTTTTCTCTGCCGTGTTACAGAGTGAACGCTGGCTGAACTGTACAGAGCCATCAATAATATTATCACCGTCACACTGACACTCTCCTACCACAAAAAAAGTCAAAACATTTGCAGTGAAACAGGGCCTGTTTTTCCTCCACAGTTAAACTGCACTAATTAGCACCATCATTAAAACACAATCCACTTTTTAGCACAACGGCTAAAAGGCCTGTTAATTTGTTATTATTTATAGAAGAGTCAGAAGAGCAGGAGCAGTTCTGATGAGTGTGTTAACACCAACCTCTCACATTGTTGGCCAAAAAATGAAATTTCCCATCAACTATTACAGTATATGGATGTACTGCAGAGTGAACGCAGTGGAAATATAGACACAGTTTATGCAGACAGTCATTGGTGCAAATTAATCTGTGCTACTTTCCTGCTGCAAACAGCGTCAGGGCAGGGTTTTTAGGAAAGAAATGTCATCAAGTTCTGATGAAATCCCCACTTAAATAATGAAACTCATCGACAACGACAAACCTGCATTTTGTATTTTCCACTAATTCCATTGGAGTTGTATTAGCCATGTGCTATTATTCTGCTTCATTTGTGTAAAGGTCAGAGACAAGTTGGATTAACTAGCACCAAGTTAATAAACTTCTCTGAAATTAGAACGATCTACTACCACGTTAGATACTGAAAGTGGATTATTAGAATTTGTTTTCTTAGTGTCAAATTACGCTAACTAGTAATCAGATTAGCGAGCATCAAGATTAGATTAATGACAAACACATTGGTTTGAAATCAGATTAACTTCGTCAAGCCTAGTTACATTAGCAACTGTCAATTTATTGAATTAACATTTTTTTCTTATATTAGAAAAAAATGTCAAGTAAGATGATGATTCCTCTAATTACCATTAAATGTAGAAATGTGTGAATTAAAACAAAGGGAAAAAGAAGAAGTTCAAGGACATGATACTTCAGAAATGATTCAGTGATTCAGTCGCTGATTCAGTTACTGATTCAGTGATTTCCCTGCACGCACGCTCCTTCAACCCTCTCACCTGAAAAGCGTGGGGCGTGTCGTCCACACAGTACACCCTGAGGGTGAAGCCCAGAGAGTTGCTCGTATCAGGACTACCGAACACGGCCAGCCTCAGACGCTTGACTGCCTCCTGGTTCAGTGGCTCCCCCACCAAGGCGTAGCGACCGGGGTGCTCCAACAACACGTGGCACCTCTGGGCCTCCAACAGACAGTAACAGGATGTGCTCTCTTCATCCACAGACGCTACTTCCTGTGAAAAGAGGTGGAGATGTATCAGGAGACAAAATCTTGCGAGTGCTGAAGCGGGATTCGTTCAGCACTGGAAGTCTGAGCCCGGGGTTTCAACACCGCAGCCAATGTTAGTGACTGACTTCATTAACATTTCAAACACAGTCATTTGCCCTGAAACTGAAGTTACATAGTTTCATAGTAGTAATTACAAAATACAGATGTGAGAATGTATCCCCTTTGATGAAGTATAGTGGATGGAACAACAATTTAAATTAAAAACAAGATGATTCCAGATTGTTAGATTTCGTTGACTCAATTATGAAAAGCAAAAGTAGAACGACCTCATGTTCCAGTTCCAGTACTACTGGGGCTGTTTTAAACACAGTCGAGAAATAAAATAACAAACATTTGTCTGTGGGATTCTATTTTTGCTACACAAATGATTCCATCACTTTAAATTTTCCAATTACCCTTTTAAATGTGACTTTTTGTACTTTACAACAAAGATCCAAAAACCACTGTAGTGTTTGAAATGTTTCAAATTAAAGTAAAAAACAAACAATTAAATGTCTGATGAAACACCTAATTTCATACAATTTAAAAATGTATCTACAGGGAGTCCTCGATTCTTTTCCTACGGCGTAACATAACTCGATTTTCACTGTATGTCTGAACTCCCATATTGTACATTAGTACTTATGTCACTCAGCTACGCTAACACAGTGGTTACATCATAATCTATAACATTAAAACATCAGAAGAGTCTGACTTATGCTTGGAAATAATAATGAATGTTAAAAGGTTCCTGAAAAAAAACTACAAAAATGAGAGAAAGTGAATGTAGCCCAGTCCAATGTATGACAAACAACTGGCCAATGTAAACAAAGCCATTTTCAGCTCGCCAACTATTTTTGTGCTACATTTGTTTTTAACGCTATATGTTAGAATGATGGAACAAGACCTTCTTGACAAATTAATTGGAGATAGTGGTAACCACGACACGTCGTACAGCAAATCGAGGATGTCGTAAACCGAGAACCTGCTGTAAATCCTTACATTAAAGCAAATAATTTAATGTTTCACGAAAACCAAACCAACAACCAAATAACCAACCAACCAATCAATCAATCAAACCATCCACCTAACCATACTTACGTGGTCCACGACCCATTCACGAAGGTCTCTTCTGCGGGTCCTGAACCCATCATTTTAAATATTAATTCAGTTGTTTGAAATATTAAGGGAACGCTCAGAGAGCAAACTGGCGATTTACACTCATTAGGAATCGGAAACTAAGAAGAGTTGAATGGAGGCCAGAACACATAACGACACACCGCGCTAAACAGATGGTAATACCATAACACTGACAAAACGGATTAGCGGGGTGCAGTTGTGTTGGTAGTCAGTAACTCGTCACCTGCTGCTCAATTTTCCTTAAATCACCTTTAAACCAAAAGTCCGACCCCGGGGCCCTGTCTGCATATGGCCTGTTAAATGAATATGAAGTAAAACCGGGCCCATTAGTGCTGCTGCAGCATACATGACGGATCTCGGTGACACATCGCTCATCCCCGCCAGGCAGCCGGAGAGAAATGATGGAGTCAAACTCCAGCGGTACAAAAGTGCAAGCTTTAATGGGGAAGGCAGCGAGAGGCAGACGGAGTAGGAGCAGGAGAGAGGAAGAGTGAGGGGGGTAGAGAGACCTCCATCTCCTATTATATCGCTAATTCCACAGATTAGGGTTTGAGTTAGCATCCCTTCTGAGATAAAGGCCTCATTATTTCACAGTGACAGCGATGGGTCACGGCGTCACATTTTCATGGAAGAACACGTCCTCCCTTCCCCGAACCCATCTGTATCTCCTGTCTGTTCCTCCTTCCTCTGCTCATTCTCTGGCACATGGTTCCCCGTCAGTGATGGGTCTTTTGATAGCTCCTCTTTGTGCACCACGTCTGCTGGCAAATTACATCTGTGCAAATGTCACGCAGAGTGAGAGCCCCAGGAGGGTAAAAGGGAGAGGAGCCACTGGTCTTCAAGGTTATGCCAAGTAACCAGGGTCATTCTGTCTCTTTTTTATGAGTTTACTTTTACATTGAAAGACCAACTCAGTTACTCCGCTCTGAAGTCAGATGTCTGAACCAACACTCAGCAGTGAAGTAGCTCGACAGGGCAGAGTTGACGGAATATTCAGAGGTGTTATTTCACTCTGAGCTGTGAGGAGCAAAAAAAAAAAAACTGTCGCTGCACTAAACAGAGAGATAGATCATAATACATTCATAGGAGGAAGGTGTTAAATTATTTAAGGTTTATATTTCCATGTTTTTAGCAGGTTTGGGTGCTATATAAAAACTGTGAAGAGATTGCTTCAAATAAGATATGCAAACAGCAACTTGGAAACTGTCTCTTAAAACAAGCTGTCAGGACTTCTGTTACCGTGTGATGTCACACTACCCTCAGTCTTTGTGTGGTTGTGGTCAGTTTATAGGCCTGTCTCTCTGTTAGTCCTTTGACTAAGACGGAGTGAAGCAGCTCCTCTTATTAGTTCAGTGTCTTCTACGTCCTCCACCTGGAGACCATATATATATCACATTGATTTTTGGAGCGGGGATTTTCTCTGATAGCTTCACCCATTCACTTGGTATATTTCTATCTATATCTGTTTCTATCAGTCTAGATATACAGTACAGCTCCCTGTGATCTATCCATCTATATGTCTGTCTATGATACTGATCTATTTATACATCTATCTGCAGTCCTAACTATAATATACAGTATATATTTATCCAACTATATCCATCCATCCATTACATTTGCCTGTGCATCTCTATCTTTACATCTCCATCCATCCATCCATTATCTCTACCTTTACATCTCCATCCATCATCCACCCATCCATCATTCATCCATGCAACGTTGCATCCATCCATCTATGCAACTCTCCATACATCAAACATCCGTCCATCATCCATCCATGCACCTCTCCATCCATCAAAGATCCATCCATCATCCATCCATGCACCTCTCCATCCATCCAACATCCATCCATCCATCTATCCATCCATCCATCCATCTATGCAACTCTCCATACATCAAACATCCGTCCATCATCCATCCATGCAACTCTCCATCCATCAAAGATCCATCCATCATCCATCCATGCACCTCTCCATCCATCCATCCTTCTGAATTTCTAAAATCATTACCTTTTCCCACAGTTCCATAGCCGCCTCATATTTAATGGTCTTTTTAAAATCACCGCCCCGGAGTTTTGAGGCAGTGTGTGTGTGGCAGCGTGAAACTGTTGGAAACGACACAGCCGTTGGCAGATTTTTGCACTCTCCGAGTATTTTCTCCATTTTTTGTTTTATGTTTAACTTTATTAATAACACAACACCGGGAGGTCATTCTGCTGCTGAGCAAGCAAGCCACAGGACCGCCAAGGAAACGCTGCACAATCACTGGGTGTCAGAAAGTCAATACATCACAACACAGCCTTTCCTGGGATAATAACTTCACACTTTGTTCAGAGCTGGTTATACAACCATCCAAAGATCTGATTCAAAATGTACCCCGTACTGTTTGTCCACACAGACAAGCTCTCCTTCACAAAGAGAGTAAATTACAGAGTACATTATACCGAAAAGTCTGTTCTCATTTTGATCGTGCCTTTACCTCTGCGTACGCCTCAGTGAGACGGAGAGATTAGAGCAGGGGAAAGGTCTGATTAAAAACATTTGATGTTGAGTGTAAAAAGAAATTCTTTGAAAATACATTTGTGGTAAAACTGCTGGGTTAGAGGACATCGCCCGAGCAGCTGATCTCTCTTCTGTTTGATGGATAACTTTTACATTCACACTGAGGTCCTAGAAAACACCTCTGGATCAGTATGCAGGGATTTCCTTAAAATACATATACGATGAATTATTCACTGTTCAAAGAAACATAGAGCTGTTTGGTGGAGGTGAAGACATACATGCAATGAGTGGTGTGTGTGTGGGAAGGGGGGGGGCGGTGGTCGGGGGGTGTACGCTCAAATCTTTAATAATTTTAATTATTTTGACAAAGACAAAAAGTGTGTTGTATTCTATTCAACTCTGTTCTATTTGATATTTGTCTATTATTTGCAGTTTAGTCATTGCATTTTGTCTCAGGACTACGGTGAATTGTCTGCTTTTTTAAAATAAAATCTTAAAATTTTAGTTTGATTACTGTATTTTCCGGACTATAAGTCGGACATTTTTACATCCTTTGGCTGGGTTTGCGACTTATACTCAGGTGCGACTTATATATTAAAATATATAATTTTACATGTTCGTTATGACAGCCACTAGAGGGCACTCTAGGCTTGTGTACCAGTATCTGCTATTCCTGTACCACTGAGAATTCACATGTGCATTATCTTCACACTGACAGGAGCTAGAGGGCTAATACTCCGGAGCGACTTATAGTCCAGAAAATACGGTAAATTTATGAGCACATGTTTATGTTTATATAAGTAGGTCATGATGTGGATGGAGCTGGTCTTTAAAAATGCATTCTTAGTTTCCCCCTCAGAAGAAAGGGGAGTGTGGGTGTGGAGGATGGGGGTGTGGGCGGGCAACTAGCTCTGACCACATGCCCTCCTGCATGCTGCGCTTAAGACTTAAGACGATTAAAGACGATTCACGTCCAAACAATGATTCTGTTTTAATGCATATCATGGAATGAGCTGAACAACTGTACGCCGACATCTGGTGCATTATAGCTTCATTAAATTTAATTTGTTTACATGATGCAGTACAAACAAAGCTATCATTAACTCACCACTGGCAATTATTCTCAGAGTGATGTACAGTTTTATCCCAATGTGCGCATACTGCAGATGTACTGGAATATTTTGTCTCCCAATGATGTCAAGTTTCACCGTCCAGAGATCTGACAGATTCAGATTTGACTGATATTTATAAACACCATTATTCTCAGCGTATAAATAAAAAAGGAGAAAAAAATAAAATACATTTTTTTTCAATAACTATAGGGTATCATTTGTGTTTGGCTTGTCATCACTCTGGAATGTACGTGTGATGGGTGTGGTGAAGGGTCATTTGCATGGGATATTGATGCGTCTTTGTCTTCTGTGTGGGGGGAGGAGGGGCTGGAGGGGGGAAACCATGTTCTTCTAAAACGTCTTGCCCTTAACCTGAGCTGACGCTGTGGGGGTGCAGTGGTGACTTCCTGGCTGGTGTCTGTGGTTCTGGAAGGTTGATCAGGATGATGTTAATGAAAATCAGTACTGAGTTAACGGTTGAGAAATCCTCCCCATCGACCTGAAACCAGAGGCCTCTGCATCGGTAACATGAGATGGGTAAGAGAAATAAACAGGATGATGGGGAGGGAGGAGAGGACGAGATGGCACTGAAGTGAGTCTGAGCGAGATGATGTTGAGTGACAGAAAAAGCATTGGCTGAAGGTGTTAGATCATGACCGTATGATAACGTGGGGTAAAGCCTGAAAGACTGGATTTCCGTACAGGAGGCTGAATCTGAGCTGGCAACCCTGAAATCAGCTCTGTGTTCACATGACTTCACTGCAGGATAAACATTTTAGCAGTTTACCAGAACACATTGATATTCCATTGGCGACTGAGAGCGGCGTATCGCCACTCATCAGCATTCGGTGCTGATGTCAAGACAAAAATCGAACCAAAGCTAAAGTTCAAAAAGAGCCTCTCACCTCCCACTTGTTGTCCTGCATTTGTCTCTTTAGGCGCACTGTCCAATTACCAGCTGTAACCTCACCACAGTGGGCAATGGTCAGGGCTATAGGACACGACAAGTCAAGGCCTGGTGGTCCATACTTAACAGCGGGGCTCAAAAAGATCTCGGGCCCATCGTCGAACAAGGTGCTGCGGAGAGAGGAACAGGCATCCGTCAGATCACATCATGAATTATAACACAATCACGTCTCTGTCTCTTCACTCTGGAGCCACCTTAGCATCACGTAAACATGAGGACAAGAATTCCCCTGCTAATGAACCGCTGCTTAATCAAACATTCACAGGGTAGAGTGTGACCCTGGCCTCTCGGCAAAGTAAACACAAATCCTAGGACACTCAAAATAAATCAATCCTTGAACAGCTGATACACAGATACACGCGCAAACACACACAGATAGAGGAAGATTAGAGCACCAAGACTAATGGACAGTGGGGCTGAGGAGGACAGGCTTTAGCAGACAGTGTGGAAGCTTTGTGAGTCGATGGGAGCTTATGAAGCCTGCTCTGGCCGCCCTGGTGACAGATTAGCTGAGCCAAGCTGCTCTTGGCCAGGGGCCCAATTTTGGCGGGAAGCCCTGAAGACTGAATGCAATCGATGGGACCACCATCAGTCATGAAGCTGACCCACGACATGATATTGGTGCTGGTGTCACTCGAGCGGCACGGACTGGTGTAGCATCAATAGTGGCATGCTGGCACACTGATAATACCAGTGGTTATACATACAAACATACAGTATATACTGTATATATGTATATATTCGCTATATACTGTATATATGTATATATACATATATATACATACACAAACACACACACATATATACATATATATAGACATATACACACACACATATATATTTATATATGTGTACATATGTGTATGTCTATCTGTATGTATTAGGTAAATACATATAGTACATATATAGTAAATACATAGTATATATGTAGTTAATATATATATATATTTATGTATATATGTAAACATTTTGGTGGAATTTAGTCTTCATAGATATGGTGCATATACTATATGCACCATATAAATGAAGAGTAATGACTGATTATTAAATTAAATTAATAAATAAATATATATGTATATATATGTATACTGTATATATATATATATATACTGTTTGAGTGTGAGGGAGGAGATTGACTTTTTTCGCTGCATGTATTTGATATCTTGGTACCAATCAACACATTAAAGTTCAAAGAGGTTTTTTCTCTATTGTCTAAAGATCACACATTCAGTTAGCACTGCCACCGTGCTGCTGTACTTGGGTGATAATCAGCAACAGGCTCAAGGTTACCAGCTGCGTCAACCACTAGATGATTTTAACTAAAAATGGTTAGGGTTTCCAAAATGGACGTGAAGCTGAGTAAATATTACTACAGTGGAATCACGAGTGGCACAAACGTGACATGCAGACAGATTAAATAGTACGTTTCCAGCAAACTGAATGTTGAAATGTATACGGAAAAGATATTGTACACAATGTTTTTATTAATACAAAATGTAAAATACCTAATCTTTAAATACCTAGAAATTAGAAATAAAAAAATAATGTAAAAACTAAGCTTGTAAATGTAAAATTGTCTAAATACATTAGACAAAATATGCTCTGAAAAATATGATTTTTTTTTCTGTTTCAGTCAGTCTCTGAAACAATGTCGTAGATTGAAGGCTAACTCAAAATGTTCAAATGTTCCTCCAGTTCTGTTGATTTTTTTTAAAGCTCCACTCATTTTAACAGGTTTCCATTCTGATGGATTTTGGTGATTTTAAATTTGTTAAGGATTTAATAAACAAATATGAAGGTACCAAAACACAAACTCAATTCTGAACTTGACAAGAAAACAAAAAAACAACAAGGCAACAACTTAAGGCCTTTCCAAATGAAAACATCTTTCTAACTATTTGTGAAGTATAACTGCACAAACCATGACACTAACACTAATGATACTAATGCTAATAAACTGATGTTTTTGTCTTTTTTACAATCCTTTTTTTCGAAGCTCTCATATAATTCTAGTTTCTAGGAGTTAGATTAAATATACTCATTGGATAATGATAAAAAAAAAAAACCCACAAAAGCAAAAGACATAAAAAGGTTATCACCAAACTTTAACCTTTGAATCAAAATAGATTTCGAGACACTGATCATTGGACACTGGCTTTGACCAGCCAATGGAGTCAGTAGTTGAAGTGAGAAAAACTTGCAAATTGACATCAGTTAACTGACTATGCAGAATACTAATAAAGTGAGTACAAAATACTGCTAATGAAACCGTGTCACCAGGGGTTAAAAATGGTAGCCTCAAACGCTGTTTCTCCAACTCGTGTGTGAGCGGTGTGCTTGTTTGTGTGCCGTCTGTCCTTGGACTACCTGCAGTCCCCTGCTGGGCTGGAATAGATTACACGCAGAATAACCTTGTACAGCCCTCGGAATTGAAGAAACCTCTTGTGAACACCTGAAACTTAACCAGCCCTGATCGATCTTTTTTTTTTTTTTTTTTTTTGCAGATTAAATTGTCGTCCTATGTAGATGGCGGAGGTTGGAAAACGGTGAAACGGATCCAATTTCTCCAGCGGCTGTCAGCGGGCAGGCTTTGACTGACAGCTCGGTGGTCGACTGCTCCTGCAGCTTCTTAAATGACAACCAGAGAAGTAAACAGCATCTGGCTTATCAGAGTAAAGCAGGAGGCTGGAGGGCAGCAGCTTGGCTCAGACAGGGAGACTCTGAGCAGGGGAGTGTAAAACCTGCCCGCTAACTGAGCCTCCACCTATGGGTGACCTCTGATCTGTATCTTCAACTGGATGACCATGTCACCTCATAATGGATGTGAGATGACAGATAAATTTGAGTCGGCACTAAAAGTCAGTCTATTCTCTCTTGGATGTTCAAATCACGTCTCGCTGAGGCCACGGCTGAAATGTGAAGTTTTTATTTGACGAGAGTAGACGGCAGGTGTATCAGAAGGAAAAAAATAAATATTTGAACTGAGAGTCGGTTCAAAGTCGTGTGAACGTCGCCTGTGCAGCAGAGGCAGTACGCCATGCTGGAGTGAGGGATTTATAATTGACATTTCTTGAATGAATTAATTACTTTTTTGAGTATTTTTCTAGTTGCGTTACATCACACCAGTAACAGTGCAGTTGTTACAGGCGTTACACCACACCAGTAACAGTGCAGTTGTTACAGTTGCCTTTCTCGTGCAGTTCTCTCGCCAATGTTGGGAGCGTGAGACCGGGTTGATTTCAAATGTCGTCCTCGTTAAAAGAAACATTTTAAAAATGGACCCGTTCTGTTGCAATGTAATGCAACTTATAAGATGTCAGTTGACTGGGATTCAGATCCTGATGTGCTGAGCTTTTAGTTCTCAGCTCTGCCTGTCCTGCTGTGATAAACCAGTGATGACTCAAACCTGTCTGTCACGAAGCTTCTCTTCTCAGACCATCAGTGGAAGTTTCTGAGAGTCTCTGTGTTACTTGATGTCGTGTGATGTGTTTGGACGCAGAGTTGGTGTCACAGGCTCAGACTCATTCATTCATTCAATCATTTGTTCATTCATTTGTATACCGATATACAGACAAACAATCACTCACACCTAGTATTTGTTAAATAATTGTAACAACAACAACAACAACAACAACATTAATAATAATACTGTAGGAAGAAGAAGAAAATGTAGGCAGGTTTTCAAAGCTTTTTTAAAACCAGGATTACTTGAAAGAAAGTCTGGCAGTACCAGAGATTTTAAGAAAATATTTCTTTTTGAAAATTATTATTTTTTTATTAATATCTCAATCAAATAAAAAAAAACACATTAAAGAAAAGCTTTGGCCCAATCTGCCTGCACATGGTTTTGCCAGGTCTCCTCCTCTGCAAGTTCTGTGATATGAACGAGGCAAAGAACCAACTCTGGTTCACAGCAGTTACTCTGCAAACTTCAGAGTTGACACTGAGTAAAACTAAGAAGTCTAAGTCTAAGAAGTCTTATGTTTGACACTTACAGAAAATAAAAAAGAAGCATATATATATATGACACATAACATTATTGGTTCCTGCATTTCACCTATCAATAAATGGGTGAAAGGAATATATAAATGTGGCAATCCTCTATGCACGAGCCTTACATAATAATGTAATATTTATTTAATTACAATCCTTAGAGAAGCATTTGTTTAGTTTTTTAAATTATTTATTTATTTAAAATATATTTTTTAATATATTTCATACGCCTTTAATTTGACATATTCCAGATCGACTACTACTCAAGGACTTGCAGTTTAATGAAAATCAGTAAGAGATGACATTCTGCTGCCGTTTTACTTCTACTTTCATTGATTTAAGTTGTTTGTTTTTGATGAGAAAATATTTTTCACAGGGCGCAAATCACTGACGTAGTTTTTTTTTTTAAAAAGCAGTAGTTCTGAAGACAACAGTGTTGACTGTACACCTGCGGTACACAATACAATGCAGTATATCTGTGTACTGACTCATGTCATCTCAAGTCATTTCCAGCAGTTGTTGTGGAGACCTGTCAAATAACCAGGTGGTGATGTTGAGGCGATCCCTAACCCCCAGGGTGAGGGGTGTGGGGGGGGGGGGGGGGGCCACCGGCCCCCCCCCCCCCACACTGATGCTGCCTGCTGTTTACCCACAACACGTTCAGAGAAGGAGATCTTCTTGTGAAATAGTTTCTGAGGTGCTCTTCCTAAAAAGTCAAATGTATTAGCTCTCCTTTTCAAAAGGCTCTTATCTTTTCAATTCCTCCTCCAGTAATAACTCACTCGCAAACTTGCACAAACATCCTCCTGCTGGCAGGCAGCAGTCGTCCGGCGGAGAACACCACCACCACCACCACCACCACCACCCGTCAAACCCCCAAACCAAATCAGAATCTGCAAACAGCACCGCCTGACATCCCAGCATTTCCTCTGCTCCAACCAGTCATGATGGATGGAGATATTGTCAGTTATGTCCGCAAACACAAAACAGACCCTCGGAGTCGTGAAGTGCATTTCCCTCCTCTGCTGACAGAGTTTTTTCAAAGCAATAATGAAACCTGTCGGTGTATGTGTGACACACGTCCGACCACACACCGCTGGTCCCCGTGCACTGTGTCTACAGCTGTATTTGTCACGTTTATGTACTTAGAACCACAGGTTTTTCCACATGAAAGCACTTTGGCCCGTTAAGCACAGAGGAGGAGAAGACCTGGCAGGTCGACAGACGAGCGAGTGTCAGGTTTAAAAATTAAAACGGAACGAAGAAAAAGGCTGACGTGGCTGTCTCGGCGAGCGTCCCTCACCTGCTGTCCTCCTGGTTGATGATCATGTACATTTCCCAGGTTGTGTCTTCTGCGATGCCCCCGTGAGGAACCAGCAGGCTGATACCTGCAGAGAGAGGGCGTGCGGAAACTGATCAGTACACAGACAGGAGACACGGGGCGAGCACGCGTGCACACGCGTCTGTCACGTCTCTTTACTAAAGACGACAGACACGGAGGCGAGGGCCTCAGAATAAGGTGATGGAAGCAGGTCCCCACGGCCTCGTGAATCACTGCTGTCGGCAGCCTCTTTGTCACCAGACGCACACATGTACACAAAATATTCTAGTATATGATGAACAATTACTGCCAATCTACGCTGCAGCAGATAAAGCCCCTCGAGGGACAAGATGATGAATGTAGGCCACGGGAAAAGCAGCGCCTGAATAATGTGGCAGCCTCAGCGTCACAGGTTTGTTTTTACAAAGACTTGTTAACATTCCCTTCCTGATGTACCGTATGAATATGTTACAGCCTCTCCAGTCAATGCATGTTGTGGAGACGCTCTTAATTAAGCAGTAAGTGCAGTTGGAAAGACTTTCATCATAATTCACATTGACTTTGTCAGGAGCCATCGTTTTATTCCGGAGTGTCACTGATGTCTAACACCGGGAAAACAATCTCATTTTAGGAGACAATTACATCCAGACAAACAGTGACGGGGTTGAAAAGAAGTGCACGACGCAATCACAGCAGCATCATCACCGCTGTCCGCCCGCATTTGTCCATGAATATAGTACATCCCAAAGGACTCTGCAGTGGGCTCACCTGTGTTGGGGACCACCAGTCTGCCGCCAGCGTGACTGAACACTGCAGTGGCTTTGTGCAGTGGCCTGCTGGGAGCCAGAGAGCCTTGGGGGTTGAAGACATTTTTGTTTCGTTTGCCCAGCGTCGTCCCGACGGCAACTCCTCTGTAGTCTGGAGCCAAGCCACGCGGAAACGTCTGAGGGTGGGACATGACGTGGTACTCCGCCATTTCAGCCACATCTACAGGTGCAGAGATACAAGTGTGTGTGACTTTGTAGTGGTGCCAATGAGGGGGAAGTTACAAAAACTGCTTTCTAATGTGTAACTTCTAGAACAGGCGTGGGCAAACCTTTGTCTCGCGGGCTAAAATTGGCCCTAAAATTTGACAGTGGGGCCGGGTCAGGAGCAGATAGATGGAGCGTTCACATGTAAACATGTAAAAGTCATGCATAAAGGCTCAAATGCTTTTATCATTTTACTACGGCATCTATTGGGCAAACGTGGGTATTGCAGGGAAAAGGCAAAGTATAATGATAATATAAATAAATAGAATTTGGAAAGGTTTGGCAGGCCGGATTAAAAATTTAAACGGGCCGCATCCGGCCCCCGGCCCTTAGATTGCCCATGTCTGTTCTAGAAACTAACACCCGTGGTGTGGTGGGAGTACCATGTTGTATTTGAGAAACTACTAAAATAACATTTCATTTTAAAGCTGTTCCTCTGTCAGTGATAAAACAATATGGATAGAAAAAGGTTTGACATGTGGAGAAACAATAACCAGACAGGAAGTGGCTCTGCACATGAGGCACTTCCTGCCTCCAAGGTCGCAGTTGTATATTCCCTCTGCGAGCACCTTTTAAAGGATCTCCTTCAGAGAAGACGTAAAGACCAAGAGGTTCGTCGCTCTGACTGAAGCTGCACAGTTGTCCGCTACTCTTCAGGTCTATAAGTAGCTACGCACCACCGAGGCGGCCTGTCATAGCAGTTGCATTGTCTAACCTTTGACCTTGAGATCTGGCAGCGGGTTAAGGAGTGATCGCTCAGCCATCAGCTCCTTGTCAATGGAGTCTTGAAAACACATGGGGCTGGTGTAGGTACGCGACACTGTCAGATCAGGTTGCATGGACGAATTAATGAGCAACGGGTTGGCTGCAGAGAACAGAGAGGGAGGGGGGGAGAGGGGGACAGGGAGAGAGAGAGGGGGGAGAGAGAGATGAATTACACATTGTCAGAATTATTTTCAAGCAGCTATTATATTCTGGATAAACATCCACAAACAACAACTACATGTTAATGGTTGTAGTTGAACAGACTGAACTGATGAGATTCTGATTTGAATGTGTTGTATAATGCTGGCGTTCTTAACCTTTTTGACCTTGAGCCCTAATTTTTATGGTACCTGAGTGACCTGAGGTCCATTAAATATTAGATTTGATGAAGTCTGGATTGTACCTATGCATAAATGTAGTCTTTTTTGGGGGATAGATGGGGGCGGGGGGGTCTGCATGACGTTTGTTTTCATTTTTTCATTTTAAAAACCACCTCATTTGCTAAAACTAGCGTAGAGAAGACAGACGTCTCTGTATATTATAGCTGGGGGGATTTTTTCATTTTAAAAACCATCTCATTTGCTAAAGCTAGCGTAGAAAAGACAGACGTCTCTGTATATTATAGCTTTTTATAGAACTGACTGATGCACTACCGCCACCATGTGGAACGCAGCTTTGACCACACTGAGCTTCTCATGTAGTACATACAGTATCTCTGGTTTTATTGTACTTCTGCTCTGTCTCTCTCTTAAGAAACTCAGCAGTATGGACTTTATTATGAGACCTTATAAAATTCCCACGGGCCGCACAAAATGACTTGGTGGGCCACATTTGGTCCACGGGCCTTTAGTTTGACACACATGACCTATCCAGTGCCGCGGTTCTTGTGGCTCACAGGTGCAAAACTGAGCGTTTTATGTGGCCCAAGTTTGGCCCGTGGCCCTATGATGATGGGGGCTGTCACTCAATGAACTGCCAGGTGATTGGTCAACGACTCAGAGTTAGGCACTGCCATTATAAATGAAGCCCAAATATAAAGGAGAATGCTAGTGATAGAAGCAGATGATACTGTGGCGCCCCCTGAAGGGGGGTCTTTACATACTGATCTGTTTCATTTACTGCTTCATTAACACACAGGAAAGACTAATGGGTTGACCCCAACAAGTGTGTTTACATGGACATTTCCATGGTTTTTCTCAGTATTTGCATTTATGGCAGGAGTTCCTCCCGTACGTGTGGGTGTGCAGCTGTAGGAGGTCTGCTTGTTTCACTCCTTATATCAAGGGGGAAAAGGGACCGAGATTAAAGCACTTTCATCCTCCTGCTGTGTTATCAAAATGAACTTTATTATGCCCTGCTGAGAGCTGTTGCTCTGCAAACCATAATGCCAGCCTTGTAAAAATATGCCTTAATCCGTGGGGCAAAACAGGCTACGCTTTTGAGCTCTAATGTTTTGGTGTTTGGAGACACAGAGCCATAAATGATCCATTTGGAGTCTGGATGGGAAAAAACAACAACAACAACAACCTTGAAAGCACCAATAAATTACATTTTTCATTGTGGAATCATGAATAATTAAAATGGAGATTTGTTGGATAAGATACTACACAAACAGCCCATAATGCCACAAACTAACACAATCTGGATGACTGTTTTTTGGCTTATTTTGCTTCCCAGGGCCTGTAAAAAAGGTCTCCGTAATAACAGATGACACATAAATTGCGAATTTGTCTGGAGCACAAACAGAGGTGGTTACCGTGTGTTTCAGTGGCTGCTTGTTGCTCAGGGCTCACTGATGTTTTTAATACAACCATACATAGCCAGTGTGCCATGTAGATACTGCATGTTATTGGACGCTTAAGTCACGACAACGATGACTGCGTGAATCTCCAGGTAAAAAAAAAAAAATTTAAAATGGGCACAGTATTTAGTTTAAATAAATACTGTAACTTCAAGGAAAATATTGGTATTATAGTATTACGTGAGTGTATACTAGTATAACAAGCTGTATTTTAATGGCATACATGAAGTTGCGGTGTTGATTTTCAATCTACGTGCAATTGTTTTGAAGCATTTCAAACGCAGAGCATTTTCCTTCAGCTGCGAGTACTCAACGTACTAAGTACACAAAGTAGGACCAATCATAGTTAGTATTATTGTCTTACAGCAACAGAGAGGAATCCCTGCACCTGCTTTAGGGATTCTGCATGTTGTTAAACCATCATCATCACAATTAACATCATCTTCATCATCTTCATCATCTTCTTCTTCTTCATCATCATCATCACCAGCTACTAACCAAAGATATGTTAGAGCAGTGTTTCCCAAGTCAGCCAGGGAAACATGATGTGAGACGACCCCAAAAAACCCTCTTGAAAGAACCAGTCTTTGGAAAACAATGTGGTAGACCATTTGTCTCTACACGTAGCCCTGAACTAGGACTAGTCAACTGTCCATGGTGTCCTCCACACTCTGAAGTCACCTCTCCCCACCCAGTTGGGGGTCGACACCTTATTTAATCTTAATCCTGAAAGTACAGACCAATACAGTTGAAGGACCACAGATGTAGAGAGAAGGATTCATTTCCAGGAAAAATTTGCCATTTCTAGGACATGTCACCTCTGAGTTTCCACATGTTTTCCATGACTGGGGAATTGAAAAATGTCCAGGTTTTTTTCCAGGATGTATGGGAACCCTAAGGGAGCTACCATCTCTGTGAAAAGCGGAGCTGCACTCTGGAGAGATGTTGATGATACTCATTAGTACTGCACTTAATTACCTTGTTTCATTTTAGCGTATTACTTCATAAATTACTCCATATAAAGGTAATGTATTGTTACAAAAGTAATCCCTAATTACCACTGTAATAGGCAGTTACCTATATTAGCCACAGTTTATTACTTTCTTTTACAACTTCCTGACAAACCTCGTCTTTCTGCCCAAACTATTTACACTTGTGCTTTAGGCCTCGAGTCCTTACTGAACATCGTGAAAACCACTGATCACCATCAAGTACAAAGGCACTGCAGTATTCTACCTTACACCTGGTGTTATTAACAACAGCGTTGTATTTTGGTTTTATTTCATGTAAAGGGACAATTAAATTTGGGAAATGGTGCCTGAGGTGTTGATTTGCTGTTCTTCCCTCGACATATTTTGATTAAAAAGCACACATTTCTTCATACATGGTGCAACGAAGCGTGAACATTTTATTAGTTGCAGTAGCCATTTGGAGGATTTACGTTGTGTAAACAGAGACCTGAACGCATCGTAATCTTGAAGGAATAAATTGAAAAATGGACAAATGAAAATTCAATTATTTTAAAGAAAAAAATAAATGAAAAAAACAAAATAATAAAACATAAAGAAGAACCATCAAAAGCCAAAAGAAGGAAAACATTTTTTTTTAAAGAAATGACTGTTTCCAGTCATTTTTTGCAGATCAAATCACATCCACTCTGTTGAGGTGCAGGTTTCAGCTGAATGGATAAAACCTGCTGCTCTCATAGAACAGCAGTGAACGAGGACAGATTCTCAAGACGCACTCGAAAAGAAAAGACATCTGAATGTGAAAAACGACGGCGCAATTTATTCTTTTTTCTTTCGAACAAGTGAGCTTGTCTTTATCTGACTCTGAAAATAGTTTTTCCAGACAGTGGTTGGATTCTCCTGTATCCCTTCTATCAATGTAAGAAATAATAATAATAAAAAGAAATCTCCGAGTCGACGCCTGACGCTCAAGAGAGGCAGATATTTACTTTTTGATGTATCATACATCTAAAAAAAGGCTAAAAAAGGTAAAACAAAGACACGTGAACACAGGTACTACGTATCACAGTATTTGTGTATTTATGGGTTTACTTGAAAGCATTGACACGAGCCTCATGTTGGATAAAAAGGACATTTGTGTGTGTATTTATGTTACAGTATTTGTGTATTTATGGGTTTACTTGAAAGCATCGACACGAGCCTCATGTTGGATAAAAAAGACATTTGTGTGTGTATTTATCCATCCATCCATCCATTTTCATCCGCTTATCCGTTACCGGGTCGCGGGGGCAGCAGTCGCCACCCAAATCACATTGCACCGTACCAACCCCCCTAAACCTTCCTGCGGGTGGTGAGTCCACTGGAAGGTACCAACCGCCCTGACCGGGATTCGAACTTGTCCAGGAGGTGAACCCTGGAGTTCCACACCAATGACAGAGACATTGCCTCTGGGCCAAAGCACCACTGTGTGTATTTATGCCTAAGGATATTTATACAACACACACAGAAATATATAATTACATTTCTTAACCTTTTGCATTTTTTTTAATTAAATCATTATCATCACATCAAAACAATAATTAATTGCTATATTTGCTAACGAGAATTAACGAGGTGCGTACAGCAATATTAACAATGATGATGATGATGATGACGATGATGATGATTAGAAGCAGTGGTGTGTTGATCAGTACCATCAGGGGATGTGAGAACTTCCAGACTGTGCAGTAAATAGAACCAAAGTAATATGTAAGTACTGCAAAACAAAATTGTTTAGTACCAGTGTACTTCACGTCTATTGTATTTAGGCATCACCTTACTGCAATATAAAGTACTGAAGGCAGTAAATCACTCAAAAAAAGTAAAACATTTTACTTGAAAGAATTTTTTTGTTTTTAATAAAAAAAATGCCACTTTCTCATTTATTATTAAACTAAATAATAAATAAATATAAAAAATAAATAACAATGTAATTAATTGTGATTAATCCTGAAAAATAATGTATTTAATCACAATTTCTAAAAATGTGATATTTGATGTTCGTAGTTCACTGAACATGTGTTGATAAAACTTCTCTCAACAATTTTTTTTTTTTTCAAAAAGCCAAAACTTTGTTCAACTTTTGAATATGAAGACAAGTTGACAAAAACAACACAGTTCCATATGGTGTCTTTGAAAAAAATCTGGTCCACGTCAAAACAAACAAAACACGAGTTTGAATGTGATGCTTACTAACACAATAGGAATCTTATCACAGCTATCACCACGCAACAAAAATATAATAACTGCGTTCTGACTCCAGTCCCTAATTTATGGGCTGTGCTGGGTTTAATTATGCACAAGTTTAACAGCATGCGTTTCATGATCTATTAATGAAATCATCCAAAGTGACAGCAGACGCCTGCGAATTAACCACACAACTTGATTTTCTGCCGACTGCACTGATAAGCGCTTGTGCATGTTAGGAATGTAAAAACCGTGAAAGACGGAAAACGTCCCGCCCTATGGGCGGGGCCTAAACTCCATCAGTGAATAAAAGCAGACATTAAGTGACTGTGGAAACAAAGCTCCTGTTATTATTATGATATCAAACTAAATTCACTTTTGACATAAATAAAACACATGGGTTGTAATTAATTGATCTGAGAGACGGACTGACAGGGCCTGGTACCTCTGCGGGTGAATCTGTCCACAGACAATGACGATGTTCAAGAGGGCACACGGAACGGAGAAGAATCTGCTCTGAACCAAACTTTTATTTTAATTATTTATTACCAAAGTCAAAGGTCAGGTCTGGCTGATTATTTTCGTTAGCAGTTGGGTTTTTGTTTTACGGAACATTTTAATGTGTTTTCATGAATTTAAAGTTGTATTCTGGATAAGAATAGAATAAAATAGGAAAAAAAAAAAAAGAAAAAAAACAAGAGCCCCGAGTCCAATGTGCAGCAGAGTAAGAATGTTTTTTAAAGAATGTAAAAATATTTTTTTAGAAAGGGTTAGACATTGGACATAACATTGGATAAAGATTCAAATAATGGGAACTGTGGTCATTTGACTCGACTTTGGACTTCTTTAAATTTCTTCTTTTTTAGAATTTTCTTAGATTTTTTTTTTTTTGTCTGTCAGAGATTTTGTCATTGATGGCTCTCTGTGATAACTGTAGCCACAGTTGAAGTTATAACACTAGACATTTTGAGTGTCAGACATACAGTATATAATTTTCTAATTCATAATTTTTTATTTGTCAATTGTCAATATTCTGTTGTTTATAAGTTAACTGGTCTACTAGCAGCAGTAGCAGACGGTAGATACACGTTTATACCTAAACCACTGCAGCATTCTTTGTGTTAATATTCACGTCAGAGCTCCATCAGCCCCTCACCTTGTCGAGATGTCTTGAAGCTGAAGGACTGAAATCCACCGGTGAGGGCGGAGGAGTCGATGACATCCACGCCGTACTCGCTCTGGCTCCTCCTGTACAGAGTGACGGCGATGATCAGCAGCACCACCATCACTACTCCTGCGGCGAGGCCTGAATACAGAGCCACGTCAGTGCTGTTGTCCACCCCTGAAAGAACAACAAGTCGGACAAAGAGAGCAGTTTAGAACCTCAGATGTTTCCTAATGCATTCTCCCTTAAAACGAACCCCGTCATATAAGAACATTGGTTAAAGTAGTGAAAATCAGCTAAAGGATGCAACTGTACCGTGGTGTGAGACTTCAGTTTATCACTTCTACTTATTTTCTGCTCCATCTGCCCTGCTGCCTTCCACCCAGCTTGGTGGTTTCTAGAGTGTTAAAGCTACTAATGAGGAACCTCAGAAAGAAGGAGATTATAATCAAGCCAGCACCTGACTGTCATTTCAAACACTGCTTGGCTGTGGTGTTGGAGGCGCTTTGTGTTCCACTGGGATAATGTGACAAAACCAATTCATTAAATTAGCTCATTGGCAGTGATTATGCTCTATCTGGTCCCACCAGTGCCGCAGCGTCTGACTCCACAGTGGAAAAAATAAGGGGTGAGGGAGAGAGAGAGACTGCTCGCTTATTCTTGGGAGATAATAGAATCTGTGCTGAAATAGGATGTGCTGGGAAATCCTCTAAATAACCTAAAGATCAAATTAGGAGAAATTGACATAATATGCGAAGCAGGATTAACTGGGAGAGTACAGGGTTAATTTGAGGGCTTATGGTGAGGTTTAGCAGCAAAGCCTTAAATGACAGAAAAAAAAAACATAGCAAAAAAAAACATGTATTAATTTCCACTGTACAGGATAAATACAACAGCACCCACTAATGGGCTAATGCACTTAGAGAGTTATGAATATGCTGTGAAAATGTGTAAACACGAGGTGACGGTGTGAAGATTTTAAAAACCGGAACATGTCTCTCAGATGTGTTGAAGAGCTTTGTCAAGTTATCAGGAAACAGTGTTGAGATTTTGTTTTCTTTCCCCAAAACAAAAGGAATGTAAAATACACTTTATTTCATCCTTTGGGCAGAAGCAGGTTATTGATGATGTAACAGCTCCTGGAATACAGCAGGAAAAGTGAACGTGATTTATCGTGATTGTGACACAGCGCACAACGAAACGTGACCTCTGCCTTTGACCCCGTCACCTTAGTGAGCGGGGGGAGGGCGGGCAGCTCAAGCTAAGTGCCTTGGGAGCAGAGTGTGGACGGAGCCATGCTCAGGGGCACCTGGTGGTTGGTGGATTAGAACCAACAGCCTGTGAACCTTCTGGACACAAGGGCTGCTTCCTAACCCAGCAGGTCACCACTGGAAAACTCTACAGGTAACAATGCTCCACAGGCATTCAGACCTGGGTGTATGTATCATTTACGTCCTCATTACATTAACACACTTTTTTTTTTGTGCCAGCCTAAAACTATATCTGACCCTAGCTTATGTAATAAAATGAATAAAAATAATAAAACTTAAAAAAAAAATTAAAATACTTCAGCGTTTGTATGTATGTATGTATGAAAAAATCTATTTAATATGACAATGATGTGTGAATGTAATTTGGAAAATTACAAAAATATTCGCATGACAATTAAATTTGAAAATGTCTGTGATGTATAAATCTCATTAAAATCGGCTGCCCTATTATTACATTATGTGATACTATTTTAATGACAAAAGGAAAACTCACCCTGCGGTTTCACATCATGCAGCAACTTTCGATCTGCAAGGACAGAGAAGAACCAAGTTCTATGTTACTATGTTACAGGAGTTATTTTTCTTCTCTGTACACGCATCCCCGGCTGCGCTGTGAACTGTGTGCAATACATGAGGGAGATTAGCTGGATAATAATCAAACTCCAAATCTATTCCACCAATGGAAAACTGTTGATTCATAACCATCTGTTTGGACGCAGAAGAAAATAAACAGTAATGATGATGAACAATCTGTTTGTCTTTGTGTCACAGCGTGATGATGTCACCCACTCTCTGTGCAGAGGCCGCCGGTGCAGTTGTCCGTCATCAATGCCACCCCGTCACACAGTCGTCCTCCATGTTTGGGCTCCGGGGCTGTGCAGTCTCTGCTGCGCTGCCTCTCGCAGCTCGAACTACACAATGACCACTCGCTCCACTCGCCCCAGCTGCCATCAACTGGAGGGTCGGAGACAAAGAGAACAAAAATAAAATAAAAAAAATAGGAGAACAAGTTAGGTTGTAAAGTGCATTGTCTGTCAACCACTCCAATATAGGCCCTGTTCACCTTCTCATTCTCCAGCCTCAATTACTTATGCATACACACACACACACTGGGTTTTGTGTTTTGTGGGCACTTCACAATGCACACTGCATTCCCAAGTCCTTTTCTAAAACCCTGACTGTTCCAAACATATCCCATAATCCTAATGCAAAATACCTACATAGGGGACCTGAAAAATGTCCCCACAAACACATGGGTCCCCACCACAGTGGTACATTTTCAAAACAATGTCCTCGCAAGTATAGCTACACCAACATAGCATACACACCGCAAAGCCACAGTGGCACAAATGTACAAAAATAAAGAAAAAATCTATAGATTTTTTTTCTTCTGGACCTTAGCTGATTCACACTGTAAACTACAGAAAACATCTTCAAGGTAAACTCCACATTGATACATTTACAAAAGCCTTTTCTTCAGGGAGCCAAGGAGACTCATGCAGAGGCTGTGTTTGTGCGTCCTCCGTCAACACTCGCTCTGAATGCTCTCTACATTCTCTTCTTCCTGGTAATCTAAACGCAAATTCACACCGTTGTGGCCAAACACAGACGCAGAAACGTAAGAATCAATAGGAAGAAGGCAGCTGGAGGAGAAGACAGGACAGGACCGGACAGGACAGGACAGGACAGGACAGGAGGAGAGGAGAGGACAGGACAGGTCAGGACAGGACAGGACAGGACAGGACAGGAGGAGAGGAGAGGAAAGGATGACATGATGTATATATGTGTGTGTATATATATATATATATATATATATACATTAGGTGTCCTTGGGTGACAGAAAGGCACCTGTGAAATAAAATGTATTATATATAAACATATATACACACATATATATATATATGCATTAATATAGAATATATACAGAAAATGTGTTAATATATAAATATGTATAAATATATGTGTGTAAATATGTTTACATATATTTGTATATATTTTATTATTTAACGTATAAATATATACAAATATATCTTTGTTAAAAATTTGTAAATATAAATAATTACAGCAACTGTGTGACATGTGACCTGCAGTGTCACCCCTAAAGGACACGATGCTGTTGGCTCACAGCAAATACTGAGGGGATGTTTTTTCATTTGATGATGTCACACGATCCCTTTGATATCTTTGATGTACATCAAAGTGATATCATCGTGTGGCTCTAACACCGGAATCATTAAGCCTTCACCTTGAGTTAATGACTCAAGAGTCATCAACCCATGACTTCTGAAGGCTGTAACTCACCAACAACAAACAGTTTGGCTGAAGTTTGCCACAGAGCCAGTAGAAGGAGGCAGAAATGCAAGACTTGGGATGCCCACTGCTGTACAACCCCGCAGAGGAACTCAACATGCACAACCCACGGGGTTTGCGTGTTCGTCACTCAGCACCGTGTGGACTTAAAAGCATTTTGATGTGCTTGTCTCGAGCGACGGTCCTGGCAGAGCCGGAGGACACCCTGGAATTTCTTACGTCACATGCACAACGGATGCTGGAGTCCAGGAGTGACAACAGCAGAGACACCGATGAGGCCGTGTTTCAGTATCAGGTGGAGTGGGAGAAAACGTCGCTGCCTGACATATGGGAGAAAATGAACTCTGGATCCAGACCTGTTTCATCGCCCCCGCCTGCACCTCCACCATCACCGCTTACGCCTCCTACGTCACCACCCCCACCTGCACTGCTGCGGTCGAAACTGCCGTGTGAAGAGAACGTGAAACCGTGGCAGTTCAGAGGATTCAAGAAAAAGAAAAAACCCCTGCCGTCCATTTCGCAAAAAGCTTCTGCCAAAAATGTTAAAAAAGAACAAAAACCAACCAACAGGTTTTGCCTTGGGGATTTTATTTGCCGTTTAAATGACTGTCCTTATCATAAACACATAGAGGAGCCCAAAAGTACAGAGACAGCGAAGACGGTGAAAACACGGAAAGCTGCGATAGATCCATGGCTGATATACAGAGCACCGTCGGGTTATATTTTAGATCCTGAACTAAGGAGAACCAGGTCCACTAGAACATAACACTCCTACAACAGGACAGCCCGGGAAAAAAAACATGAGCAGGAAATAACCACTCTCTGAATCTAACCAACCCGTGGGAGCAGATTCAGGGCTTAACTGTCGTTATCTTAACTTCCCAACAAACAAAGGAGACCAATCAGACAACAGCTGTGACTACAATGGCAGACGTCAAGACACAGGGGGAAAAGATAGCAGTCACTCTGTGACTGGAATTTCTGACCGGTGCTCAAACGGAAACTGTTTTTTTGCTCTGTATATTACATTTCGTTCTACTGACGTTGTATTTATACTGTATTCATTTGATGCGCCAACGTGTGTCTTTACAACGGCAGGTTTAATACTTGATGCTGAGAAGGTAAACTGAAGGACTCGTACCAATAATGCAACCAGGGGAAAAAATTGTCAAAGAATTCCAAGGTTTTCTTTTTTACCCAAAATTAAAATGTATTATATTTTATATAATATATTAATATTCCATCATTATAAACACAACTGGTCCAATAGTGTTTTTGTAAACAAATTTCTACCCTTCACTCCCAGGACATCTGTGGGTGGGACGGCTGAGGTACCGTGTGTACAGTGTACCACATGACCGATCAACTCACTGTGCATTTATGATCTTATTTAAAAGTCAACAACAATTGTCATCTTCCTGTTGACCTTGTGACCTTTCTATTGTGTAGTGTTAAAGGCCCAATTGAGTTGTTTGACAGCCGCTTATAACATAAGAAATGTATTACTGTATTACTGCAATACAGCAAGATGAAGACATTACACTGCACGACCTACAGTATGTTGAACTGCAGTGTTTCCCGAATTTTTTCTGACGAAGTCACAAACCTTCACGACCCAAGTCAATAAACATTATTGGTAAACTCCTGGGAAACATGATGCGAGATGACCCAAAAAAAACCTCTTGCGACCCACCTGAGGGTCGCGACCCAGTC